TATTGGTTATTCGATTCATGGCCCCGGTATGATCACTATTGGGATGGAGAGCGCTCAACATAAGTAGATAGATGAACGCATCATCACTACAGATATCGCTTGAGAGACCTCATGGACTCAACTGGTCACCCCAATTCCTCACCGGCAGGAACTTATTTTATTGACCCGCTCGCGGCTGATAAAATAAAAGTTATTTTAAATTTTGGAAATTAAAATTCTAGATGGCAATAAGAAACTGAAATTAATCTGATACCTTTGGAATATATAAATTTTTCTTTTTCTACAAATGTACCTAGATTGTATCAAAACATCACCGTTTTCTCCTTGTTTTTTTAAAATCACAATTTTGTCAGATTAGTCTTTTATTTTGAAGAAACTTATAAAATTACTTTCATAGATTCTTTTGAATGATAATTTCTTAGTTATTCTTTCTATCATTAATTGATTTAGAATTCGAAATTAACTTTGTCTTAAATTTTTGTAATTGATTTGAAGGGAGAAGTAATTCAAAAAGTTGAAGAAAGGTCTAGCCATTATCGTTTCAAAAAAAAATTACCATTAAAAAAAAAAAACATTTTCATCAATTTGCCTTTCTTTGTTTACCAAAACAGTTCATTTACTTGATTGTTTTGGTTTTATTTGAAAAGACAAATACCTTCTAAGGTATTATATCTGTGAGTATTACAAAGTGATGACTTATTTGATACTATTTTTGTATTAGATTGCTTTAAATTAATTTTATAGATCCAAAGATATTCTATAATCTCTAATCTTGTTGTAAATATACCTTTTGTTTTGAATCCAATATCACCAGAAACATTAAATTAGTTGACTAAATTGTAAGGAAAATTAATCTAAAGTCAAAACTGTTCTTCTTCCTGGGTAATTGCAGCAACCAGGCAGTTAAAAAGGAATTTAAGTAAAATTATCAGAACAGAATCTCATAGATTGTAGGAATGTTGGAGCAACATACTATGCTTAAAGCTAATTTTATGAAACTACTGGGGCATATTTCTATATAAAACATCAAGGGATTTTCACTGAGTCTGAATATACATATATTTGCAAACCAGATTGCTGGTGTAAATAAACAGGATTCGAACGATGGACTATTTTTGCACAAGTAGAATGACAATTTAGATTGGATTTTCTTATAATCATTAGGTGAAGATCCTTTATAATTAAAAGTTGATGGACTAGTAATCTATAGTTCCCGGAGTATTCTCTTTTTGTATTTCTAGTTAGAAAAATGTAAATTATTTTTCATTAGTTATTGGTTTTGATTAGTTTCAGAATTGGAGAGTTCAAGCATCTTTTGAAATATCTTGGGAAGAATTTTGACCTATTAGATTAGCACCAGGAGATACTTGTGGTCTAAGAAATAAAGCATTTTTGTGATTTTTGATTGTGATTAATTATTAACCAGATTAAAAAATATCATCTCCCTCTGTTTCAATGCATAATAAAAATTGGCAATTAATTATTTATTAATAATAAGGAATTTCGATTATTAGAGAACATCTAATGGAGATCTAATTACTCTTCATTTCTGCATAAAATACGATATGTAGATAAAAATTGTAATAAATTTTGAGGAACAAAAACATAATGGTAGGGAAAGAGATTCAATTTTTGGAATGCACTCTCATATTCAAAGTTCCAGAATCAAATGAGATTTATTATTTTAAGAATGGAGTTCCTTAAGGTTCCTCTTTATCTTCAGGCTTGTTTAATATATATTTAGAAGCATTTATGGAGTAAGTTGGAAGAAAGGCTAATATTTAATATGATAACTTTGAATATTCAGATGATTTAACAGTTTTAATTAAAAATTAATACATTAATTCTTTTATTAGATGTTTGGGTGAAGAAAATATGAAATTGGATTTGAAGGTTAATAAAGACAAATGTGAAATTAATAAGTTGAAATAAGAGAAATAACATGATAAATATATTGAAGGTATTCCAATTATAGATAAATATACTTATTTAGGGATCATAATTAATAGGTAAGGGAATTTAAAGGTCAAAATTATGAAAATTAAGTAAAGGGTAAATATTTTAAGCCCCAGAAATTTAGAATAAGGTAATAATTATAATCCAGGTGTTGGTCTTTCTTTTTTAAATGATAACAAGAACTACTTTTCTTTAAGGTATTTAATTAATAATTTTTATGTTTAGAATAAAAAAATATTCTATAGTAAATCAATAACTTTAAATAATAACCGAAGTTCCTCGAAAAAAAGATAAAACAATTATAAAATTAATCATTTCAATGTTAAAACCGAACCCTCTAAAATGATTAGCAATCTTAATACAGTAGGTAGAAATATTTAAAATTTCAATACAAGCATTTGAATTATATCAGTAACATTTTACACTTGTCAAAATAGTATAAACTACAATTGTTCCTAAATATTAGTCACAAGTTGTATTGAAATCTGTGCTACCATTACTTACTGACATACATCCAATGCTATATGCTTTTAAATGATTCCTATTAAGATAGAAATAGTTGTCTTATTACAAGTAATTCCTGTTAATTGTTAATTATTATCTATAATTAAATATAGTATCATAATTAAACTTTATTATGAAGCAATCATTTTTTCACTATATCAAAGTATTACCATCAGCCAAAACAATACATGAATTCTAAATTATTTACTTAGCATTCTGTACCATCCTTTAGATTTATCTATTTATTATGATATCAATACATATCTAAATTTTAGCACTGTCTCACCATTCACTAATCCACATTAAGTCACAGATTGATTTACGGTCTAGCTTTATTCAACATACATAATTACTCAAGGGGATTCATAATTTTTCTTATTTGAGTCAGATAAATAATCAGCTGCATTCGAAGCTGAAGAATTCCAGCAGCAGACTCATAATTTGGTTTTATTTTTTAAGAGTTTAAATTATTTTTTTAGGCTGAGATATTGAATTTTAAAAAGTAAATTAACTTTTCAATCGATAAGATTCATGTAATACAAGAGCTTCGAGAACAACTGGAAAATGGCACACAGTTGCAGTCTTAACTTAAAGGTGGGGGTTTTTTGCGAGATTGTATGTAAAAAATTAAATTTTGCTTTTTGGAAAAGTATTCTGATTATTTTTTTCTTCTGAACTGGTTATATTATTCAATGAAATTATGAATCTGTAAATTCAGATCTTATGACCATTCACAATTTTTATTAACTTATGAAATAATATAACAACCTCCCTATTTCAACTCATTTGCCTTATATTCAAAAATGCTTTCATTTCTGACACTGAATTATCATATAGATTTAGGTTTTATAGTTTAAAATTTATATGATGGATTATATATTAGCGAAAATTAGCATTAAATAAATTCTCTTATTATACCTTTTTATTTTTCTAAATCAAATACATTATATTCCTTTATACCAACAGGTTTTTTGCTATTAATTATAAGATGAGCATATATTATCAATAGTCCAGCTCTAATTAATTTCAATGAAACGAAATATTTAAGAAATAATAAAGATTATTCAGTCATAATTTTGAATACCACAAGCTATTCTTTTACTTCATTCAGCTATGAAAAGATAAAAAAATTATGACATAATTTATTCATTCTTCAGATTTTATAATAAGTGCTCATTTTCTATGTACCAGCTTAATATTTTCAATAGGTCTACTTATAAATTGTGCCCCTGTTATAATAATGATTAGACTTTTATATGATATCTCAATTCAATTAAAAAAAATTCAAGAGACTTGTAAGACTTAAAAATTCAATATCCTTTAGCAAAGAGTTTTTACATATACTAAGATTCTTATATACCATTATTAAGGTTTACAGATATTTCATTAATGAAGAAGCCAAAAATGTGCATCTTGTGAATGCTGTATACCATCATAATCATAAAAAAAAGGAGAGTTTGGAAGATAGGATTTGAATGTAAAAAGTCTTGCAAGTTTTATAGAGAGTCTTCATTTTCTATAACATTTTACAATCTAGCCCACCAAAAAAAGCAGAGAGTGGATCATAGACTTAGAAACTCTTAGGTCAAAATCTAGAGGTTAGCACTAAAGCTTTCTAATTCAAAATATCATCAAACTCAATATTAAGATCATGGTTGATTTTGGGTTCAATCCTTAAACTTATTAGCATCATTCTTTAATTTGGCCTGTTAGATTTTCAAAAAGACATCTTTTTAAGAGGACAATTTTCAATATGCAATAGCTATAACCATATTCAACTCTTTCAAACTCAACCTTATTAAAAATATTATTATTGTTAAATTAATTTCCAGGATAGAGTATAATAATAAAAATAATAATAATCATTTTTCTTATTCTATTCGAATATAAGAGAGAAATCTCTCTCATTTATTTTTTAATCCAATTATGATGAATCTTCATCCTATTATTTAATAATTGTTAATCTTCAGTTCGATTAATCCAAACGTTGAGTATCGAGTTTGATAATGAAAAGACTAAAAATTTTAGTTCCTTAAGGTCAATGTAGAGTAATGTTCCAAAGTCTGGAGACTTTTAGTATGAACATAGATGATCTTACCATCCTTGTTTAATTCCCAAATAACCACCATAATGAAATTTACTTTTTAACTTCAAGTTAATGTTTCTTATTAAATATCCTTGATAGGATGATTTGAGATTTAATATTATCACTTTAATGAAGGATTATTAAAATTATTTAATCTTTTTTCTTTCAAGATTTTAGAGGGGAATGGATTAAATCATTATTATTCTTGATATTATTGAGTCATTTAATATAAAAACCTCCATCAAAATGCTCAAAATTATTCTGAAGGCCAATCTATAACAGTCCATTGTCATCATCATTAGGTTTGATAATTTATTGTTTTTTGGAAAAAGAAAACAAATCAATTATAACAATAAAATTTCTAAACTTATTTTATTTAAAAAATATATTACAAATTTTGAAAAATACTATATATATAATTTCAAATATAACTTAATAATTTACATTATTCTTTGTATCTTCTGAGTTGTATTTCTGTCTCCCAAGTTATCAAATTTCTTATCAGTATCAGCCTCTATTGAGAAAAAATGAAGAATGCCAATTTTAATAAAGAAAAATAATATGGAAAGTATTTAGCTGAATAATCTATTCATTTTAGTAAAAATGTTTTATTTGGAGGAATAGATGATCATAGAAAGTTGAAATGGAGGAGGTATTCTAAATAGTCAAATATGATTATTGAAATAGCAATATAATAATAGAAAAATAATAATATTTATTTTAAGGCTTCTTGATTGTGTAAGGATAATTCTCTATATATATTTATTTTGTTTTAAATTTAGAGAAATTATTGAAATGATATTTTATTGGGATTTTCTTTCTTTTTTGAGTATTATAAAATTATTAAATAAAAATCTTTAATTTTCGCTTTTTGTATGCTTAATATGAGTGCATTAATTTAGATTAAAAATTAAATAATTACAAATATACAGCATTTTAGTCAAAATACTTTTAGAAAAAGTTTTTTTTTGTAGTTTATTATCCATTATATAAGAATTTAATTAAGAGCTCTTTATCTCATAGAGTTTCTATTAGAAGCCACTGAACCAAATCTATTCGAATTAAAACTAAAGTTGTTGAACGGACGATAAAAATTTTTCTTCATTAAAAAATTGATACTACTTTTATTTATGTAACAAATTTAACAGCCAAACAAGTTTTATTTCAATTAGAAACCAAAACTATTAATTAACTTTTGATTGAATTATATTTGTAAAAGATGATAAGATCAATAGTGGTAAAATTTTCAATTTTGATGTTTCAAAGTTTTTTATTTCTTTAATTTAGTTTTTAATTAATTTTTATTATATATATCCTCTTGTATCTATATTTATAATTTGTAATTAAGTAGCCATTAAAAAAAAAAGAAAGATGAATTAGATTTTATTTTTATGGTTATTTAGCGATTTATAATCTATTTAAAACATACATATTGTAATAGATGATAAAATGAAAACTTTTCAGATAATTTATACCAACAATCACAATTTTCCTTTCATTCCATACGGAATTATCTTAATTTAAATAATTTGTAAAAGCATCTTCTATAATTTTTCAAGAAGTGCTTTGAACTAATAAAAAATGGTTTGATCAATATATTCAGAATATGGAACACTTAATATAAGGAAAAATTGTACCTTAATTTTAAGATTTTAGAAATCCTCAATAATGCTATTTAATTGAAATTAACAAAAAGGCCAAATGAATGAACCGGATACCAAGATATACTCATCAAGTTACAACAGAGATTGCTTTACAATTTAATTTTAATTATCTTCAATCAATGAATGAGGTAACAATATGATTAATCCTACAGGTCCTTTATGAAACAAAAGAATATCTTAATTAAAATAGAAAAGATGTCAAACTGTCATGAATGTATTTCAACATATTTTGAATGAAACAATACAAGATAAGAAGGTCACATAATTTTTTTAATTCTAATTTAAAAAGGGAAAAAATAAGTATAAAGTAACCCAATAAATTGGATGGTCATACAATTGGTGTCTGGACAGCAATACTTTAGCTTCGGTTGGGATGGATAACTATGGAAATAGATGATAAAAAATTTAAATTAGAAGAACATAGTAGAACTGTTTAGTTATATGCTTCTCTATCCTAATATTACTACATTAGCATCAGGTAATTAAGATAGATCAGTTCTCTTATGGAATGTTGAGACAAGAGCAGTATACTAACTAAACATAACTGCGATGTCCATCTAATCTAAATTTTTAATTATTTTCCTATAAAAGTTTTGTTAGTCAGAAAAGACTTATAAAGTTATTTTTCTTCATCCAAAATACCCCATTATAACACTCTATTTCCAGAATGAATTATTTAATTTAATATTATTTAGTCCCTACTAATATTATTATAACATTCTATCCTAATAGCCAATTTGAAAGCATAATGATTTCAAACTTGAAAGAAGAATTTATAAATTAATACTGCATACAATTATTTTGGTAAAAACTCAGAAAATCGTATTTCATGATTTGCAATTATATTTTTTAACAAAATAATAAAAGATTTATAAGAATGAATGATAATTCTATAATTTATGGTAATAATTAGATAATTAAGATTAAAAAGAATCTTTTTGTATTTTTCCACAGAAAAATCTTCTCTATTCTCCTGCAATATGGGTAAATTATTTTTCCATGTTAGAATTTTTTTTTTTACATTTAACCAAAGGGAAGCCTTAGCAATGGATCCAATAAAATGCGCATAACAACAGAGTTAAATTTCCAATAGAGCTCTGGTAATCGCTGTTATAAAATTAGGTTCTCTAAGTGGATTTTGGCAAGAAAGGATAGAAAATCATTAAAAAAATGATAGGCATGAAACAAAAAGGTTAAATTATTTATTGAAAATAGGTGTTATTTTTGCTATAATAGAAATAAAGACAATAATCAGGATTAAACAGCTGTGTTAGACATTTTTCTTATATTATTATTTATTTAGTGTATGAAAGACCAATTTTGAAATAATGAAAAGTTTTCAAAGTGATCTAACAAAATCAATATTGTTCACATTACAAAAATAAATTATAGAATAGTTAAATTCCCTACACCTTTAGGTTTAATAATTCATTATTTATCAAGTTGAGATTTAATCAATTTTCATATATTTATTATATGTTTACTTAATTAGTAATTCATTGCATTTTATAAAATTTTATTTGTGAAATAAACATAATCCAAAACTTAAAGATAGAGAATAATTGAAAAGTAGTGTCAATGTATTAGATTAATTATGGATTCAAAAGATTTTTCTATAAATTTCTTTTTAAATACTTTTTTTATCATTCGCAGTGAATTGGTTATAAAAAAACTACCCCAAAAGAAGCGATTGATTAAATAATGGGCCTAATGGAGGTTTTCTTTAAAAGCGAAGATATATCATAGAAAAGTCAAACAAGATATTTTAGGGAATTCATATACAAGACTATTTGTAATATCTGAATGATGTGAATAAAGAGGATTCTATTATAAATTAAATTTAATAACTTATTAATTTTAGTTGAAAACAGCTTAAGTTTCATTTTGCTCTATATTCTTTAATTTATTTTACATTTCCTACCTTCAATTTATTTCAAAATGTGGAAATATCTTGCCAAAATAGTTTTTTCTACATAGGGATCAACTCTTTATTTTTTTAAATACTTCTTATTCTAAAATGCTTTTCAATAATTCATATCTGTTTAAATAGTGATTGCCAAAAATCTTAAAATACTGATTCAAGCAAAAATAATTACATTTTCATTACATTTTTGTTTCTATAACTTATTAAGGATTCTGCAAGAAAACCATCACTTTAAACATTGTTTCCGATAGAGCATAAAGCATATTTTATCTGCTTTGATTCCGCTATCTATCTTTAATGAATTCTAACATAGGTTGATGAAATAAAACTTAAATTATAAGATATTCTAATTGCTTTATTAAATAATTATGAAATTCTCAAATATCTATTAAAATGAAAATATAGATTTATCCCAACTAAAAAGATAATAAGAAGGCATTTAATCTTTTATATATTATTTAGTTTTTTACTTGTTGGAACTTATTATTTGTTATCTTAAATAGTTTGATTTAAACTAGTTCTTGTTTTTATTATTCTTCTTGACTAATTTCTTTAAACTATTTATCAAAAAGATATATATTATCCCATAATAAATGACTGCTAATTATTTTTTAGCAATTCAAGTATCTATAGTTTCTTTTTAATTTCCTTTAATTTCACGATACCCTTGGTTTTATAGACTTAAGACAAACTTTATATCTAAACTAAATCAATTCTATAATCTAATGAAACAATAATTTCAAAAAATTCTTTTTAAAGGAAGTTAGTTTATATCTTTGCTTCTAATTTATAACATAATTTTAATATTGTTCTTTTTTGATTTATTATATCTCCAAATAGCGTTGATATTTTGATACGAAAGTTTGACATTTTCCTTTGAGGTGGATTATTTTCTCTGTCGAATAGCTAATAATTGTTTTACGAGTTATTAAATCATAATTATTTACTTTTTATTCACATTTTCAAAATTACCAGAGATAAATATAGAAAAATTATTTATGTTGAATAAAGCATTTAACTACTCCATTTTTTTAACTTTATTAACTTCACCTCCTTTTTCATTAATTCACTTCAACTAAAAATGAGCTTAATATAATATATTTCCATGTATAACCCAGAAAAAAAAAATGCAATATCCCATTTGCCAACCATTTCCATTTTTATATTCATCAATATTAGTGAAATTTCGCTTCATTATAAAACCCATCATATATCTCTATTAATTTTCCAATTTGCATATATTATCAATATGAATCTTCTCCATATATTTTTAACAATTATTAGTCATCCAATTTTAACTTCCAAAAAAAACCTCAGCATAATCCCTCTTCAATCATTTTATTTGCCTTAAATACTTATAAATACTCTGGATGATTATCATATGAATCTCTCAACATTACTACTTTTTATTCCTTTAGATTGTACATTTCACCCAACAACTTATTAGCCTTTCTAAAAAGTGTCAGTAGTTAAGTTAATAACAATTAACTTCATATAATCTTTTAAATTAATTTATTCAAGATTATTATATATTTATTCCTTTTTATTCTTGTATTTTTTCGAAAAAAATTTCTAATTAAGTATTTAACATAGAATTTATATCAATTTTTTTTCTGTCATGAGATTAAAGTTTTTGTATTGATTGGTAATTTACTTCCTACAATTAAAAACAGTTTTCTTCTTCAGTTATTTATTTACTTAATAATCATTTTAATTAGTGCAAATTAATTCAACCAAATAACTTGTATTATATGTTTTTTGCATGAGCTTTTACAAATATGCTCCTCTTTTCTAGACTTCTATAAATGCGCTTTGAAATCCTTCTTTATTTTTTCCTTTGTAAATTCTTGCTATCTCTAATTTGGAGGTCTAAAGAGAATTAGTATAATCAAGTTAAAAATAAAAAAATTGTAAAATTTTGCTAACAAATTCTCATTTTAATTGATTGAACAAAGGTCTTAATAATCTAAGGGCAATTTTATAGCAAAAACCTAAGCTAATAGGCCTAAATTGAAAATAATTGATTTTTAATTGCTATATAAATATAAATTAAATTAAATTGAGGATTGTTATCGAGTTGAAAATCAGGTTATGGAATAGATATAATTTGAGCTTATTCCTATTATAAATGATCATTCCTAATAGACTACTTTTGGAAACTAAAAAAATGACTACATCAATACTTAATATCTATTCAAAAAAGTCTATGAGGAACTGAACTCTTATAATACTCCTGCATAGTAATTTTGACCATTTAATTAAACTATGATATTCAGACCCATAAGGATTGATTTGAGGACAAAAGGAATTTCTTTTTGAAATTTAAATTAATCTCCTTAAATAAAAAATATGTTCCAATATAATTACATTCACTATAAAAATTAACACAAGGTACAGCAAGTCTCAAAATATAGTCTCTAAATTCCCATGATTCAAGAGTCATTTACTTTTACGAATTTGAATTCTCTCTTAATTTTATAGTTAAATCAGTTCCTATTATCTAAAACTTTAATGAAAGTGGCCAAAATAGATCAACCCAAATTTCGTTTCTACATATCACTGTACCTTCCAGTAATCAAATAATTGATTTTCTAATAATTCGTTACTTCGAATATTTTTAAACGGTTCTGATCATTGCAGTTGAAAATCAATAAGGCCCCATAAACACCTTTCTTAAGTAGCATTACTTATTCCAACAATTGAAAAATCTGTTTATCTGGAATTCTCTTTATTATCAGTTACAAAATTTTCATAGAGTGTAGATTTAAAAAATAAAATTTTGAGAAATGAGATCATTCGTACCATTATAATTAAAATAAAATAAAGATTTTAATGCAAATTGGATCACAATATACGCCATAATCGAGTGACTTTTCAAATACTTAATTAAATCCGTCTACTTTATACTCCTGAAATGAAAATATTTTTTTAAAGTAGGATTGATCTTGAATTTTTTGTCAAATATCTATTGGAATACAAAAAATAATTTGCGATGACATCAATCAATTTTAATGAAGAAGAAAGAAGCAATTATATAAATAAAGTATTAAATTTTAGAATTCTAGATTAAATTTCCTAAAATAAATAAATAACATAAAAAAATATCAAATTATAACTAAGAATATTTGAATTTATGTTTTTTTGATATAAATTATCAATTTGTTGAAAATTCTTGAATTAAAATTGATATTTTTGGGTAAAACTTATAAGTCAAAAATAAATACTTATATTTCGAAATTAATCCTTCAGTCATTTATTATTTTATTAAAAGAACAAAATACTGAATACTATTGATAAATTAGATATTTTTGGGGTTCCAATAAGTTTTTTAACTAATGCTAAGACTTCTTTATAATAAAGTAGGCTTGGTGGATTAATTACTTTTTTGATTGGAAGCATTAGTTTAACATATTATTTATTTTTATTCATATTATTGATTGATCATCAAATACCTCCTGTTGTGAATTTCAAGCAATAAACTATATCATATGCAGAATATTAGTTGTCAGACTCTATTATTCAATTAGAATTTTAAGATTTTTTGGGTGGTGTAGATCCGTTCAGAAAGAAAATAATATCATCACTCCTAAATTATATCGAATTATTAATTCAACTATCGTTGATAAACTAATTCCATTATTTAGTAGTATAGATAAGCCTTCTAAAATATTAATAAATGATGGCACTTTTGTTTTAAACAATGGAAATACTGGAAATGATGAGAACTTGGATATGAAATAATTATTGCTTGTTTTAGAAGGCTGTTCTAATCTAACTACTGTGTCTGGAAGTTATTGTGCTGATGAAAATGTAATAACAGAGTATTTATCTAAATTTCATGGGTTTCTATTCTTAACTATTTATTTAAATTAATTTTAAAGGTAAATTAGAATAAAAAAATAATATTATACGGCCTTAGAACCTTCTAAACCTTTATATTCATAAGTTATGCTTAAGTAATAAGAATCTATTATTGATGATGGAATATTATTTAATAATTATCAAAATTACTAATTTTTAAACAATTATGAGTTAATTCATTAACAAGTTGATCATTTCTTCACTTCTTAGGTGGTAGTTCAAATTTTTAAATCAAATTTTAATGTAGGAAATCCCATAAAATAGTAGCAATAATTCACTTGAAAAAGTTAAATATAGATATAAAACCGTGTTTAAAAGAGCAAAAGAAAAAGGCAGACTAGATAACATTTTATATGAAATCTAAAGAATACAATTTATTTTTTAACAATAATTTGGAGATTAAATTCTATAAAAAAATCATTAATTGGGGGGAAAATTTTATAATCACAACATGGATCATTAAAATAGTAAAGAGTCAATGAGATTAACCATTAAGCCAACTAATTCTTTAGAAATAGAAAATGACTTTGCCTTATTGGAACCTTTAGAAATGTTACAAAAACAATCTTAAAGATGATTTTATTCTTATTTAAATATTATTTAACAAAATGTTTTATTCTCTGTAAAACAGTTTAATATTAATATATATATTCATTTGGTAAAGTTTAAATTTATCCTATATTAAAATAGCGTATTATTTAATTTTTCTAATATTTAAAGTAAATGTTAGAGTAAAATATTTCATTAGAAAATGGATTTGTAAAATATTATTTGAGTGCCGGTTCGGAGATATTTAAGCTCTTATTTTTCCAAGATATATTTTAGCTCAGCATATTATAAAGAATATCTGTTTTCTATGTTATTTAAACAAATAAAACTACAATCCCTCTTCATATTTTTATTATCAGAGTTAATGATATTTTGCAGATTTACAATATTTGTTTTAGTTGAAATGAATCGTATAAAACCTATTTGATTTTGGTTTTTCTGGAAGTTAAATTATATTGCAACTTGTAGAAACCTGAGTTTTAATAATTTACAGAAATGCAATATTAATATATTAATGTAATATTCATATTTTGTATGTGTAGAAGTGTATAATACTTTTTCAAATTGAATTAACCTTAATCCAAATCATAATTTATTTGTTTCAATACTGGAATTAACTTGTTGATAAAGGAGTCTGAATTTCTAGAAAATGATCTATACTTCATAATAGAATTTAGAAATTTAATTTCAGCAATGTCAATGGGAAAAGGTTGCAGTTGGAATTCTAATCTATTTTAAGTTATCTTAATATTTTGAGACGTTTATCATAAGCAGCATCTACAAATTGTAATTATCTTAATCATCTAAGAATATGATATTATTTCTCCTTTTTTAAATGAATTCTTAATAATAATTATCTTTTTGCTCTAAATTATACCCAATTATACTACCTATTTTTATTAGTATATTAAAAATTAAATTAACTTTTATTTTATCAGCCGCCAGCAGGTCGATAAAATAAGTTTCTGCCGGTGAGGAATTGGGATGACTAGGTGAGTCCATGAGGACCTCATGCGATATCTGTAGTGATGATGCGTTCATCTATCTACTTATGTTGAGTGCTCTCCATCCGAATAGTGATCATACCGGGGCCATGAATCGAATAACCAATACAGATTAAACTCGGGTCGATTCATGGTCCAAATTAAGGCGGTCAGGGCTGGATCCCTGGAGATAGTAAAGCTATCTCTCTAACGAATGGGGTGTTGAATAGGCATGAGGGTTGTTGAAAGAAGTAGATTAAAACTGGTTTAATCACTGGTCAACAACTGTACATAGCAACAATTAGTGTAAGATGGGGTCTCGGTCAAAAAGTGAAATGTTTGAGCGGATCCTCACTGTACACCTCGTAATGTTTGGGAAGCAACATCCAATTGCTAATATCTCCTCTGTTTTACCAAAGAACCCTACAAATGAATTCCTAAGTTATGAATTTTTATTTGTCATCATTATTATTATAGTATATTATTCAAAGATATTTTGAAATTGTTAGCTTGATTAATATTGGTTCGTTTTTCAAAACATTTTAAATCGAAGGATTTTATAATGGTAAGATGAATTCTGAATAACACTGTATTAAAAGCAACACTTCATTTTGTCATCAAAATCTCAATTCAATCTTTTTATTAATTTCCCCTCTTTTGAATAATGAATCTTTGACTATTTCAAATTAATCTTGTTTTCTTTCCTCAATAAACATAGTTAACCTTTTAAAATATGAACCAATCCTTTAATTTTAATAATTTGTGAAAATTTTTTAGCACTCCTTCTTCATTTATTTGGTTTATAAATATATTATATTGAGCATCCATAAAAATAGAATAATGTAAATATAATCTTACTATTTTGAGGATGACTATTTAATTTCAATTCTACATTCAAATATAAAGTAATCCCTATTTTTAATTTAATATTTAAAACAATATCTTATTTTTATTTTTAAAACCTTTTTTTCTATTTAATTGTTATAAATCAGTTTTTATAAGTAAAATATTTTTAATTTTTATGCTTTTCATTTGATGATTATTTTTTATACTTTGTATGATTGTAAAATATTATATTAATTTTTGATAATTTAATGGATTTTAAGAATTTTTGAGAATTTAGAGATAATTTGATTTAGTAATAATATTTGAACTTTTCCTGATTTCTTGATTAAGTATAATATTTGATCTTTCATTTAAGAAATGTTTGTAAATGTGAATGCTTTTTAGATTTTTAGCTTTTTAATTTTTTGATTATTATTGTTTCATAATGATGTTATGAATTTGATTATTATTTTTTATGATTTAACATCAAAAATTTTTTAATTTTCCTCATATACAACCGTATTTTTGAAATCGCTTTCATTTGCATAATTTACCCTTTTATCACCCATAGTAATATAGTAAGGTAGGTAGGTAGACAAAATTTGGGAGTCATATATCTTCAGAATAAACAATATAAGAGCCTAACACTTTAAGGTATTCTTTATTATAGCTGTTTTGCAAGTCATCTGAAAGTCCGAAACAAACTCAAATATTTTATACATATTCAACAAATATATAAAGGAAAAATTTGCTTTCATATTCATAAAGAATTTGGTGAAGAAATTACTGATAAAATTGAATTCATAATAATATTTAAAATAATCACATTTTTATGGCAATATCTATGTTTTATCCTTCTAACTTTCTTATCAAATCTCTCCTTTAATTTGTTGTAAAGTGTTACAAACATCGTGAGATATCTATATGAACTACATTTGTGTTATAGCTAAGATTATTTAATATTTCCTAAAGTTTATCAATGTCAAACTCACACCTTATCAAAACCATTTTTATTATTTTTAGGTTTGCAAAAGGGTATTATTAAAAATCTAATAAAATATTTTCAAAAGTAATATCCAAAAATTCTAATTACTTACTTTATAGATTGGTAGAAAATTCAAAAGTCTGAATGGCTGCATAATTTACAATAAATGCCTTGAATACTTTCAATTAGGTGAACTTTTCAAATAGATAATGACAATTATTTAAATTAAGATTACCAGAAACTTCGAAATAAAATTAATCAAAATCATACCGATCTAACTTTAAAAAATCTTAATCAATATTCAAGTTTTATTATTAAGCTACTTCAGAGGTACCCCTGTATTATTGTATAATTTAGAAATATGAATAAGAAAAAGCTGTTAAATAATCATTTCTTTCTACAAAAATTTCCATTTATTGTACAGTAGAAGCTTCTATTTGAATTTATAAGAATTGTAATTTTTTGGGGCAAATTCTAACAAATGTATTAAGATGAGCATTTAGGTCAGGACCAATATCTTCATAATAAAAATTCAATTTTATTTAATAAATAGGACTGACTTTTAAACATCTTACAAAATCTTTTAATTCAGGTCCCAAACTACATAATCTTTATGCTTAATCTATTTCTAAACTATTTTGTAAAGAAGCAAGCACTAACCTAAACTAAGCTAACATCTTCTTCTTTTTTAAATCTTCATAATTAGTAAATCTTAAGGTTTTTAAATTAATTTTAAAGGTTAGTTTCTATTTTAGATGCTCTTCTGAGACTTTTGACATAATTTAAAAGGATTTAGGATATTCCAATAATATTTAATTTGATATTGAGCCCAAATATAACATAGATTAAAAGAATTAGTCGACTGAATCTGTACCTAAAATTAAAGCTGGAATAAAAAAGTCTTTAATAACAATTTCTAGTATATCTTTTACTGCCTATATACCTTCTTTTAGTTGTTGAAAGAAAGAGAAAATCCATAATGAATCTGGATTCTTATTTAAAAATAGAGATAATATATAGATAAAGAACTAAGGAATTTTATTTAAAGCTTCTTCTACATTGGTTCTCCACATTACAGCCTAGTAGAATGGCTAATTCTTAATTTATAAAATGTTCTTTGGATCAACTTATACAGTATCATATTTAAAAACTTAAGTTGCTAAGCTGCCTTAAAATTTTGAAGCATAACTCTTGAATTTTATGTATCCTTCAGAACTAAAGTCTCTTTATACTGCATTAGAGAATTAGTTTACACATAAATATAAACAAATCATAACTATATCCCATATCTTAAAAAAGTTAAATATTGCAAATAACAGAATATAAAACAGTTATCTTAAAATGGAAAAACTTTTAAATACACGATGTTAAAATATTGCAAATGATCCCATCTACAACATTGGATTGACTACAGTTAATACGATTAATGCATAAATGAATATATCATCTCCATTATTCAAAAATATTAGAGAAATAATTTATAAGAGCCCATTAAAAAATGATGAAATAGTTTAAATAGCTGCTTAAAATGAATTCAATTTTGTCCAGGTTTCATAATAATCATACAAATTCATCAATGTTTAAATATTCCCAATTTTTTCTTAAAAAAGATCTCTTTTGGTTATCTAAGCAATTTGAGTTTTTGCTTCATCAATAATTTGTGAAGTTGTTTCTTGATTTCCTTCTATATTTTAATCAATAATTTATGATTAATTAACAATTCCACTACTAACTCTTTTACTTAGTGTTAATGATCCTTTTTGTTGGATTGACATCAGTTATTAAAATTCTATAGTCATGAACGAAAAATTAAACTTATCATTCCATTTCTTTGGTATGGGTTTAAAACCTGTAGTCATTTTTGGATTTTCGATAAATTATATCTATTTTACTGTCTCAGATTCTGCAACAGTATTAAAAACATCATTATCCCATAAAATATCTAGATTTAATTGGTTTTATTTTGAAAGTGTTAAATTTGGAATATCCCTAAATATACTCTACAAGAAATTTTCGTGATTTTAATCATGATATAAAAGACTTATTTATTCTACTTTAATTAATTTAAAACAATTAGCTAAATATTATAAGGTAACTTCATCATATTAATCAATAAAATGAAATTCAATATTTTTTAATTTTTTTTACTTAATCAAAAAACTTATTATTTAAATCATACATCTTTTCTTTTAATAAGAACTGAACTTAATTGGATCAATATGAAAAAAAAAAGATTAAACAAATCCAATATATTTTAGATCAGTTTTTATTAATTGTTTTGTTTCTTAAATAGTCTTTAATTTGATTTTCTATAATTTAAATAATAATTCTGTCTGCATTTATCTATAGGTTGTAGTGAATACTATAAATTATAGTTCCGAAAAGTAATATATTAAATTACTAATTAATAATAAAAAACTAATCGTATTAAATCCATCCCATCTATCTCCTAAAGTATTAAAAAAGCCTTATATAAAGATTTAAGGAATAGTTTGAATAGTCATTGTAATCATCATTGAGACAAGAGCAACTCTATGGAATATTAAATCCCTAAAGATATTTACAGGTTTTATTCTTTCTTTAAAAAGTATACATGGATTTCTTAATTTATCATCCCCACTTAATTATAAGTATTTATTAATTTCACTAAATGAAAACTATCTGATTGATTTATCTCTTTTAAAATAATAAATAAAGGGGGCTAATTTAAAAAAACTAAACGCTCCGATAAACAGGTAGTATATATAGTTCAAAGTATCAAAGAACCCGCTTTTTTTCTCAACTTCCCTGAATTTATAAGTGTACATCCAAACTCCACAATGAAGTAGAACACTAAAAAGTATAGAAATTACATAGCAGGAACTAAATACATCATAAAGTCCATTATATGAATTGTAACTTAATGTAAAGATAAGTTCAAGAATATTTAACACATATATAAAGACTTGAAATCCTATTTTCGTATAGTATTTATAAATGCTTGATTTTCTCTTAACCTCGTTAAAGCGATTTTCAATCACCTCTTATAGCTCACTAAGTAATATTTTATCTTTATGAGGTTCCCAAACTAGTATAGGGTCAGGAGAAGGTTTAAAGTATCTACTAATTGAAAATTAAGCCTTTTATTCTTAATCAGCTTGTAATGGATCTGGTATTTTATATGTAGAGTTTAAAGGCTACAGTTAAAATATAAATTTACAAAATTTTCTGGCTATTAATTTCCTCCTTATGGTACTAAAACAGGATCTTCTTCTGAAACACTCAAATGAGTCTTTATATTTTGTATTGGTTATTTGATTTGGTTTTAGCTGGTTTGTTTTGTTAGCTACATTTATTTATTATGAAAGAAAAAAGAATATCATTTATAAATAATTATTTGGATCAGAATTGTTCAGAAAAAAAAAAAATTCTACAAAACTTTGAAGTTACTTTTAAGAAATTTTCTAATTTTTTTCTCAAAATATGCATAATATAGTTCTGATATTTTTAACAATATTTCTAAGTTTAGAAATTCATAATATTTAGGTAGGTATTCATTATTTCATTTGACCTTAGATGAATATTACTTAAACATTATTTGTCCTTTTGAATTTATATATTAATTGTAATTTGAGACTTGATGAGATTAAATTTTATTCATTCTAGTAAAGTTAAAAAAATTTACTATTACAATTTTATAACTTAAGATGATTAAGAATAGATATTCAAATAATGATATTGATATTTTTTCAAAAATAGAAAAAATGCTTATTGTATTATAAAATCTATTGAAAAGCGACTGGTCGAATTTTGAATAACTTCTAAGATTAATGAAATTTGATAGAGATTTATTGAAATTAGATACAATGGATTAGTGATTAGAAACTCATTTTTTTAAATAAATCAATTTATTATCAAAAGATGTATCAAACTCAAATTAGGTTTAACATAATCCGATATTCTATTTAGAAAGAAGATTTATTAAATTTGCTAGTACTTCATTATTCATAACAATAAAATATATTAAATTTTATTCACCCTTATAATTTATATTAAGGTTTGATGTTTCTTTTAGTTTTAAAAAAATATATATAAATAAAGAATATGTCTATGTAATGTTTTGCTAAAAGCTTATTATTAACAATAGGGTAATATTTACATTTTCTGAATTATTTGAGTTATGATTGATAGTTACTATCATAATGGGTAGAATTAATATATATAATTGTGTTGATACAAAAAAGAGGATTTAATTGGGATGAAAAATTGTATGATAGAGTAAAAACTTTTATAACTTTATAATGGTTGTGTTTAATGGAATCAAATATTTTTTTGTATATTAAATTTTTAGAAATTATCATTTAAATGATAGTAAATTGAAAATATTTTATTAACAAAAGAGCAATTATGAGTATATGTTTTTGATGCATAATATAAAAAAAGATTGCATAATATAAAGATGAAGATTAATAACTATTTTTCTTTCTATTGATTATCGTAATTTTGCAAAGATTGTTGAAACTTATAGAATTATATATAATGTCTTTTGATTACATGTTAGAGAAAAATTAGGATAGTTCAGAATTAAGAAAATATAGACGTGGAAAAATATAATTATTTATATTCTAGATTATAATAAGATAAATTATTATTATATAAATTGAGATGCAATTGAATTTGTTTCAAGTTGAATATTAAGAATTTCATGTTACAAATGATAGTATTTATACTCTGGCTATCAATTAAAATCTATAATTACTTGCTTTCGGTGGAAAAACAGAATAAATTAGTATTTTGGATCTTACTAATGAGTCAATCTATCAAATTTTAGAAAAAACACACAAACTCCCAGTACTTTGTTTGATTTTTTCAAAGAACAATCAGTTATTTTAGTTCGGTTTTGATGATTATTTTGTAATTTACAATTACAAAAATAAATAATTTGTTGAACCAGAGATAATATAGACTCCTAATATAATACATAGATTTGCAATTTTAACTAATAATGATGAAAGTATTATCTCTATAGGAGATACTAATATGATTAACATCTATAAAATTTCTACTCGATAATTATAATCAATTATCCTTCCTACTTATAATAAATTAACATGTATTACTACTAATTTTTAACAAAAAATAGCAATTGTCTCTGGAATGGGATCTCTTTTTTTTCTAAACATTAACAAGTAGAAAATTATTTTTAAGGACTAAAAATGTTCCTCCTTTTATGTAAAAATGTCAAATAATAATTATTTATTTGCTGAGGGGCATAGAAATAATATAAATATTAAATCATCTATTAATAAAAAATTGATAAGAAAGCAACCAGGAAATCATAATTTTTGTGTACTGATTATGAGATTCACAAAAGATGATAAATTTCTTATTTCCGGAAGTATGGATTTTTCGATTACAATATTTAATGTTATTTAAGGAGGATTTGATACTTATGATAATCATGAAAGTTATATTTTCAGTTTAGAATTTTAAGATTAAGAAGAAAAAGTATTTTACACTGGTAGTAAAGATTTTAGAATAGGAAAATGGGTGAGAATGAATTATTGATTATATTTCTATATTAATCTAAATAAAATTAATAACTTATTATTCTTTTTCTAATATCTAAAGATGCTTTATTAACCATTTTTATTAAAATTACAATAATTTAGAAAAATAGCTGTTAATTAAGTGTAATATTTTATAAGATCGAAATTACAACTAGATTTATTAAATCATAGAACTATTTTCATTATAGACCTATAGTTTAGAAAGAGAAAAAATTTCCGACAATTTATATATGTATAAAAATAATGAATTATAATTATATATTCATAATAATTTAAGAATGAATTCATATTTAATGTGTACATTTGATGGTCATGAACATGAGTAAATTATTGGGTTTTGTGTGAACGAGATTTGTACAAAAATTCCTTAATTTTGCCTATAATGTCTAAAAGAAAGACATAAAAATCATGTAGAGGATTGCAAAAATTTTCAATAATATTAAGATATAGCAATTAAGTCATTAAAACAATAATAAAAAGAACTAGATGATTTAGAGAGAGTTTATAATACTATTAAAAAAGCTTATAAATAACATAGCTAAAATTTAGTAAGCGATATCTCTAAAACACAACAATTAATTGAGATGTTCTCTCAAAGATAATATTATGAGATCAAGTCTATGATATGTACCTTAAATTAATCATAAATAAGTTTAATCCCTAAAACTTAATGTATGAGTTGACAAATATTTCTAGAAAATTTTATATCATTTATCTAAACTATTGATAATGCTATTAGAGGGTTGACAAAGCCAAACTTCATCTAAGAATTTGCATAACAACCCAGATAATATTAGGGCGATAAAGTTAGTGCACAAGAATAATTTTAATAAGGTGAAAATAAATTTTAAATTTTAAGGTATGAAACTATGGGATTAACAAAACTTCTCAGAAGCGTTACATTTCTTTAATGAATCTATAAAAAATGATCCTTCCTTAGATGATGTTTATAGATGGAAAGGTTGAAAATTATTGTTAATTTATCAGGTCGCACTCTAATAAAATTAGGAAGATTAAATGAAGCATTAGATGCATGCAATATCGCAATTTAGATCAATCCTTAAAATGATTTAGCTTATACTACAAAGGGTATTAATATTTTAAAACATTTAGCTTTGGCACTATTTGATTAAAGACGATATGATGATGTCATACTTTGGTGTGATAAAGCTCTGAAAATAAATCCATAAAATGATGCTGCATTTATAAATAAAGGTTTATCCAATATATTTTATATATTATATAGGACTTGCATTAGGTCGTTTAAGAAGATATCAAGAAGAACTTATGTGTTATGAAAAATCAATTGAGATTAACAGAAAGAATGAAACAGCTTATATAAATAAAGGTTTTGTATAAATTTACATTTTTAGGTTGTGCCTTAAATCGTTAGAAGTAATACTAAGAAGCAATATAATGTTGTGATGAACTTCTTTAGATAAATTCATAACTTCATCAAGCCTATTCTATAAAAGGGATTGCGCTACATGAAATGAAGAAATATAAGGAGGCTATAAAATAATTTGATAAAGCTTATTAGATTTCAAAAAATGTTGAGTATCTAGTAGCTAAAGGTATTTATAAAATCTAATTTATAGCTGATACATTATTTGATTCAGGTTAAAAGAATAAATCTAAATAATTTTATATCGAAGCTAAAAAGAATGGGTATCAAGATATCTAATATCTTGATGAGAAAATAAGTTAAATTTGACATTGTGTTTAATATTACACCAAAAAATTTATTTTATTTCTTATTGCTTATAAAAAATCCTAGAAATTCGTTCTTCTATCAATTCAAATACTTAACTATGAGGTAAAGTTAGGTTTGAATTCCTAAATCATCCTTAAATAATATTTAATAATTGAAAATTCATAATTTTTCTTAAGATTCTCTTTCATAATTATATTTTAGTGTAGAAAAAATGCCATAGTCATGTAAATTAGATTCTTGTATTTAATTGCCTTTGAATAAAACAGTATATTTGGATGATGATAATAAAATGATACACTTTGACTAGATATTAAGAATTTGTTGAAATTTTTGATATATAGCATTTAATCGCAGCTCATTTATGATTTAACAGAATTTATAGTATAGAATAGAAGAAAATCTCTAAATTTTGGTTAATATAATTCATTATTTTAATAATTATTTCATTGTGATGGCTCTACCTAATCCTATTATTATTCTTCATCCTTCTGGCATAGACATTTGACTTTACAATTTTCTAACCCACAATCACAAAAGAATTCATTTACAATTCCTTTAGCCTTGAGATTATGTCCAACGTGACACTTTTTTGCACATTACAAACAAACTCCAAGGTATTTACCCTCCATATCCTCACCTTTATCGATACCATTTTTAATATAGCCTTCAACATCCAAACAATCACAAGTATAAACAAATTGTCTTATATAATTTGTTCCATGTTAAACTCTGGTACAATAATCCTTATCAGGATTTACTTTTTTAGCTTCCGTATATGTGTTCAAACAAGAACGAACTGTATCAATAGCTTCTGAGATATCTCCTTCCTCTCTACCTTCTCCAACAAACCAATGTACAAAACTTCGTTTAGCATAAAGTTATTTGGAAATGTGAAAAATTTAAATTATTGGATTTTGAACAGCAGTTGAATTGGCAATCATGCAAACTGCTTTGTTTGATCTACCTTATTCGCAATTAGGGAATGGAATAGGTGCCTTATCACTAACGGCGAATGGATATGCAGGAACTGCAAATTCTGCAAATTTTATGTTTGGGGATTGTTTTAAAGATTCTATAGCTCCTTTAACTTCAGGCCATGGGCAATCTCCTCTAAAAAAAAGATTAGCTGCCATATATTTGACTTATTTGTGATTACAACAAATGAATGAACTTCTTCCATCAAACAATGAAGTTGTAATCTATTACAAGTTAATTAAATCTGTATTTTGTTTATCAATATTAACAAAAGGAGCATATGATGCATGAAGAAATTAGAAATCAGGATCTGGGATAACATTCATTCTCATTTCAATTAAATCAATAAATTTTTATCCATTAAATCTAGAGGATTAAGTAACTGATGATATTAATTATGCTATCATCCTATTAATTGTTGAATAATTTGGATTATCAATATCCATTTATTCATTAGCCACTTTATATAAAGCTGAATTTTATAACATTATAGACATATTAGAGTATTCTTTTAGATATTTGAGTGTCATCAATGAATTATATGGTTCGATTACTGAAGATTATAAATTTTTTTCTGAGGGTAATATAGAAACAGTTGCTTTGGTAACCTTATCTAGGTCACCTGAGAGTAATTCCAATATCTTGGATGTAAAACCTCCACCAAATCCTCCTCCAATAGAATGATAAAGCATAATTCCTTAAAGGCCATCACAACTTTCAACTTACTTTCTTATTTTATCAGCTAAGTTTTCTTCTCCTTCCTTCCTTACTAATGCTCCAGAACTTCTTGCCCAAGATCCTCCTGATTCCAATTTGCATTAATGTATATAGGAACGATTAAATAATCCCCTATTAGGTCCATTTTTAATGACATTTATTGTGGTAGGATCTTCATCAAAGAAAATAGCTCTTGGAACATATCTTCCATATTATGACTATGAATAGAGACAATCAATATTGGAATTAAGTCCTTCTAATACTCGATCGGTTGGAACAGTTCCATCAGGTTGAATGCCATGTTCTAAACAGAATAATTCCCAAAGTGAATTTCCTATTTAAAGACCAGCTTGACCAATATGTAAAGAAATGATTTCTCTCATTGTAATAAATATTAATATCAATTTTTCACACAAATTATCAACTTTTCCATACGAGATACTCAAATTCTAAGGGGGTTCATAAATATTTATTATTAATTTTTTCTGTAACTGATTTGAGCATTGAATATATAATACTTTCATGCAATTATTTCATAAAGATCAGATCTCATACTCAATATATTTAACTTCTCTTTTTTGTTACTTAAGATTCTTAAGAGGGTACTTTTATAAATCGATCTATCTCTTCAATTATTGTATTAATCAAAGTCTAAGTAGAGAATTCTTACAATAAAGTTGGATGAAAGATCGTTTTTATAGATTTAAATAAATGTAACAATCAATATTTTTATACAGGAGCTTCTGTTGAATTTTTTTCTACATATTATATATTATCTTTATTATTCTTGTTTCTATTTTTATCAAACTTTCCTTTCTTTTGTAATTATTGATGATTTATTTGAAATCTTTATTCTAAGGGAACACTCTAAACATTCTAATTACTTTCTTAATTTGTGTTTTATTGAGGTTATTAAGAGACTGTATTTGATTGCTATTATTAATTAGAATAATGGTTTTATAAATGTTGCTGCTTCTCATATGATTATTATGGTTTGTTGAAACCTTATTCATTATTATTATTATTGTTATATTAGTTCTATTAATATTAATATTGATTTTAATAAAATCCATTATTAAATTACCAATATTAAGGAGTTTATTAGAATTAATATCCTAATTTTATAAAATATAATATACCAACAAATGGCTACTAATAATATTATTGATAAGGTTATTGATAGTAATATTATTAGCCATATTGAGACTAGTAATAAGAGCCTTATGCTTTTCTATTAGTTTTTTTCCTTTCATATGAAGCTACAGAAAAAGAGAATGGTATAGTTTCAAAGACTGCTGATAATTCCTAAAATTTTTTCTCAAATCTTATATTATTGGTTCTTTCCTATCTACTTTAAAACTTAAATTTTTATATTGCAAATACTTCCAATTTATCCAATTAAGGAAATTCTTCAAACAAACTCTTATTTGTCTTTTCCATTTAGAAAATTCTTGCCATTTTAATGCCATTATCTACAGTCAGTTCAGTGCAATCAATAAGATCATAGACAGACTTTAAAGTTTCTTCACTACCTTCTAATTTTTAGATTTATTTAATTTCATCAAAATGTTTAAATGGTATATCTTTGACATAAAGCTGAGATGAAATAATATTAACTAATACCCATTAAATCTGAAATGTCCCAAACCATTTATTCTCAATTAACCAATATTTAAAATGGGCTTTTGCATTAAATTCAGATGTTAATTTAGCCATTCCACTAAAACACATACTATTTATTTCTGTAAAGAATAAATAAACATCTTCCTTTTTATTTCTGAATGCCTCATCTAATCTTTCGTTTTTTCGAGAAGAGCTTTCTTAAATTTATACATTACCTTGTCCAAATTCCATATTTCATGGCTCTATGAACATTATCTTCTCCTTATGTTCTTATAATAAAGAATCTGCAGTCCTTTAAATTATTTAAATTATGATCAATATTGATATTTGCTAAAGGAGGGAACTTGCTTCTTATTAAATCTATATCATCATAGTTTTCTAAGGATACAAAAGCCTACTAAAAGTAAATTTTTTTTTATATACTTGGTCACTTGTTGCTTGCATAAATAAAAATAAAAAGATTTAAATATATACTTAAATATATTTAATTGATTATCATTTTTAAGAATATCATTTCGATGTTTAAGAGGCAATCCAAACTTAAGAAATACTTCTTTATTATCATCTAAATTAATTCATTTTCGTTAATTTGTAGATATATTGTTAAAATTGACTACAAATAAATACTCAATTAATGTATTATGTTATAGTAGTTATCGCTCAAAACTACTTTATAATTTACAAGGTGATTTTGAAACCATATCTATATTTTAGCATTGTTCTATTCACTAAGATTTAAAATTGTATCTACTCAGTCATTAATAAAATTTAAATGAAAATAATCAAATCAACAGTGTTTGACAAACTAAAATAATTATCTAATTAATAATAAGAGAGATGATCAAGAATAAATTAAGTAAGTATTTAATATTGAATCTCAAAATTCAATACTTATATTTAAATCATCAAATTAAAATCAGATTGAATAGTATATAATTTTAAAATCATACAAACAGAACAGCTTATTTAATCAATTATTCTTACACTAATGTATTTAAGAAATCATTAAGGTTTTAATGGGTTTTCTTTTTTTTAAAATAGATTAATCATTAACTCAGAAAGATAATTAAATTTGTATTACGTATTTTTATGTTATTTAGAATAAGTTTCTAATCCAAAGCCCTAATTTTAAAATAGTTCAGAAATAATTTTATTTTGGACTGATATTTATAAATATATATTATAACGACTATATTGGAAATGAGAAAGTTAACAAAATGCCATTTTTTAAATAATCTCTCTGATAAAATTGGATTGTATTGAGACATTCTTTAGATTCTTTATGATTTTCAATATAAATGGATAATAAGGAAATTTTAAATAGAGATCTAAAATATCTTTTGGATGAATTTTTCTAATTTTTATTTGAAAATATATTTTTAAAAGAGTACCAACAATATCATTTAACACATACACAAGATAAATTTACAATCTAAAGAGTTCTACAGATATGGCATTTTAGGGTTTCTGAATGCTAAGATTACATCATTTGATTTAAATCATCTTAACATAGAACATGTCCGCACAATAATTTTACAGTATTTTCCTCATTAAGAGGGCAAAAACAGATGGGACATTCCTCCTCCTTATAAGTACATTCAGTTTAAGTTGTAAGTATGAATTATGGAGTCTCATCTTCTTCTTGAATGAAGGCATTTTATCGAATCAATGCAGGAGGAGGTAACATTAATTCATCTAAATCCATTTCATCATAATTATAACTATCTGTGCCCTCCATGCCTTTCTTTAGCTATTTAAAAAAGCTTTAAAATTTTTAATTTTTATTAAACTTCTCATGCCTTATTTAGATTTAAATTCCAAATCTCGTCAGATCAAAACAATACTATTTTTGAAGCTGATGATTTAATTTGCCTTAACAAATTAAAAAAATCCCTAGAATTTATAACCAAAAATAAAATAGCTTATATTTATATATCAAATAATTCTCCTAATAAACAATTTAGATTATTCTAAATATTTATGAGAACAAGTTGTATTTTAACTTTTAAGATTTAAAAAAATTAATTCATTTATATGAAAAATAATGAAAATTATCATAGATATACTTATGTAGATTATCAAAAAGTAGTATTAATGTTATTGAATTACAAATTATGAAATTGAATAAATTCCATATATGATAAATCTTAATTCTATTTTATAAAAAAGTAATTTTGATTAATAGTAATAAATTTTCAAAATCTTAATATATAATTCTTTGAAACTATTCCAGAAAAATCCTTTTTTGATATATATTTTATTAGGGAAAGAAAATAATTCATAAAAATTTAATGAAATTTTATTTATTTTAATCTATGGAAAAGTCTTAAAATTCTTATTTATTATCATTAATTTTTAATTCATAAAGTTTAAGAAATCTTTTACTTCAAATAAACTATAATTGAATACTTATTTATAATTATTAATAAGACTTTTATTTATCCATTTTTATAAGACACATATTCAAATTGATATCACAGTTCATTCATTTGAATTTTCTAATAAAAAATAGTTTAAGACAAAATTTTTGAAGGATATAAAAAAAAAATAATAAATAAAAATTAACATAGCTATAGTCTACTTAATTAATATACTATTATGTTTATATTTTTAATCTAATAACTTAATAATTTGTCATAGTTTTAATTAATTTAATAATAATCCAATCATTCTCAGTTATAGTTCTCTTAGATCTCTTTTCAAGTAACCTCTTTATAATAAGCAATTATTCTTAATTACAATAATGTTATTTTTTAAGGAGTAGACTATAATCTATAATAAAAAAATAGAGCTTAATAGTTGTTTACAGAATTAAATTATGAGTCTAAATTTTTTATAATAATTTTAGTTCAATTATCAATTCACTCAAGGCTGTTATACTGATTTCAAATTCTATAATTTGATAGAAGATACAGAAAATGAATTCTACTTGACACAACCACTTAATAGAGAATCAAAAATAAATTAAGAATGAAATGATTAAAAATATAGATTAGTTTAAAAGTTTTGTATTTTACATATTAGAGTATATTTTGTAATAAATGATATGTATTAATATGAATATATGAATGTATTTTTTTGGTTTTTCAATCTAAATAATTTATTATTTTATTTATAAAGTTTTATACCTTAACTATAGCATCTCAATTTTTGGCGCTATTAATTTAATAGCAAAATGCGGGTTTATTTATTGATACCCGCATTTCGTTGTAAATAATAATAATTAATTAAGATAAGATGAATAGCTACAAACTCATAAAAACGTAGTCAGACAATAACACTAATGGTGAAGATGAATCTACAAGACATCTAAGTGAGTTAATAGATACTAAAATATCTTCAATTAAAGTAGCACCTACTACTCCTATTAATTTTCTAAGCCTTAGAGAGAGATTTGGGTAGATTTCAGATTAATATCCATTGCCAATTAAATTCTAATAATTATTATAAACAATGAGAAATATTGAATAAACGTATTGGAAAAAGAGAAAACCACTAACATATGATATCAAAACTAATGCCATTAAAATATTATAAATTGGATAATTGTTAAAACTTGATAAAGATTTATATGAGGTAAAGATTGTAAATAAATCTATTGAATTGATTTTTAATCATATTCCTACAGAAAATTTACCATAATTTTAGCCTTTTCAAAGCTAACTACCTCAAATTTTTGAAAAAAGGATTGCCTCAATAAGAAATAAAATGGATAAATTAGTATAAGAAAAACATGAAGATTATTTGAAATTGATTGGATAAGAGAGTTTTTTAGAGTATTCTAAAGAGTTTAAGATCTATTATCCAACCTTTGATATGAATTTTGTATAGGATATCTCACCAATATAATTGCCATTTCAAATATATTCTGATGAGCAGAGAGATTAAATTAAATAAATTGTTGAAATAACTATTAAGTATTTCAATTAAAGATCTGTTTCATTTGTTTACTATAACAATTTAATATAGCACTTACTTAATAAAATACCAATGAATAAAGAGATAATGGAGAAGTCATTAATGTTTTTGATTAAAATATAGCCAGATTTCCTATAAATAACAAATGCAAAAAAAGAGCAATAGAAAAATAAATGGATTGTGTAAATTAATAAATTGAGTACAGAATAAAACCAGATTGAATCCTTGAAAACTTATTTCTATTGATTTTCATGTTTTATATTTATTTAATTTTTAATGATCTCTCTAAATTATTAAAATAAATTATATAAAGTAATGATGATTACTAAAACTAAATAAAGGATTTATTAGAGAAATTAAATTAATCTTTTCATAGGATATAATAGGAGGAAGAAAATACAATTTTTTAAGAGATAAAAAGTGGTTTTTTTGATGAAGATTAATTCTTTAAAAGTTATTTAAAACAATAAAAAGGTCCGAATTAGATATTTCTAAATCATAAAGAATATGTATAATGATCTAAATTGAAATTATTTACTTTAAATAAAGAACAATTAATAAATATAGAATTAGATGATATGTAAATAGGAATAAAAAAATAGATTGTTTATTTATTTAATTTTAATCCTAAATGATGAACTAGAAATTGTATTTAAAATACTGTATTCTTATATCATTTTTAATTGTAATCAATTTCTTTATTTTTATATAACAATAATTGATTGAAAAACAATATAAAAATATATATGTATATTAGATGGAATATAGAATTGTAAGAGAATTATATGAGAATAAATAAAAAAATAAATATAGAGTTATATAAAAGGTGTTTGATAAAAGAAAGTTATCAAAATTCAATATCATATGTATTTATGATATAAAATTATATAAATAATATTTTGAAAATATAAAAATGATAAATAAGAAATCATCAACAAAATAGGCAACAAGAATGACAACACAGGCAAACGATCAATAAGAAGTAGTGACAGTAAGATAGATAACAATAATTTCAAGTAAAATCAATAAGCATCTAAATATACTTTAAATTAAATTGTCGGTAATGGGACATTTGGAATGGTTTATCTGGTAAAAAGAAATATTAATTCTAGGCCACAAATAATTAAACAAATGAAAAAGTTGCTATAAAAAAGGTGTTCTAAGATAAACGTTATAAGAATAGAGAGCATTTAATAATTTAAGAATTGAATAACCCTTGTGTTATAAAACTAAAAGAGGCATTTTTTACATAAGGTGATAAAGTAATAACAAATACATTTATAAAGGGTGATGATGTTTATTTAAATTTGGTAATGGATTATATTCCTGACACATTAAGTAAGGTGATCAGATATTATAAGAAGGCTAAATAACCTTTTCCAGCAGCTTTGTTGAAAATATATAGTTATTAGATGTTTCGTGCACTCGCATATTTAGAAGGTATTAGATAGTTATATATAAAATAAAGGAATTGGAATTAGTCATAGAGATATAAAACCTTAAAATATCCTAGTTGATCCAAATAATCATATTCTCAAGATATGTGATTTTGGGTCAGCCAAGAGATTGTAAAAAGGAGAACCAAATGTTGCTTATATTTGTTCAAGATATTATAGAGCACCAGAATTAATATTTGGAGCAACTGAATATACAACTGCTATAGATATGTGGTCTATAGGTTGTGTAATAGCTGAAATGACTATTGGAGAGCCTTTATTTCCAGGAGAGAGTGCCACAGATTAATTAGTTGAAATTATTAAAATACTTGGAACTCCAACTGTTGAATAAGTGAAATAAATGAATCCTATGCACAAAGAATTCAAATTTCCATAAATTAAGAATCATCCTTGGAATAAAGTAAATTCATTTTATATAATTTATTAGGTATTTTAAAAGTTTAAACCTGATCCATTGTTTATAGATTTGATATCTAAAATAATGTTGTACCCTCCTAGAGAAAGATTGAGACCATTAGAAGCTTTGTCTCATCCTTATTTTAATGAAATTAGAGATGAAAAATTTGGAATTCCAAATGTAAAGTTGCCTAATTTCTTTGATTTTACAAAAGGTATATCAAATCATGTTTAATTATAGAGGAATTATCGATCTAACCTGAAATTGCGTTTAAGTTAACTCCATAGTGGTATTAGTAAAAGAGAATATGAACTTAATTATTTTTAATAAATGAATCCCATTCGTGTCTATCCACTTAAATTTACAAATCAAGATTCTATTGCAAATTCTCCTGGTCTTAAAAAGAAAGCTTAACCATCTGATCGTACATACACTTTTCAATTAAAGTATCATCATATTAGAATTTAGTCCTCCTTCATAATAGAGTAGAAGTAATTAGAAAAGACATCCAACAGGAGGTATGAATATATAAGATGAAAAAATCAAGATTGTATAAATACAGTTTTACTATATTATCATAGGTTACTTAAAAAAAATTATAATTACTTTAACCATCTAGCTATTCCCCTAAAAAGAGAGTAATTAGTAACAATAATGATAAACCATACATCTTCAAATTCTCAAATTAATCAAATGAAGTATCATTATTTTTAAATCATATCAAAGCCATTATCCCCAACAAAATTGCCAAATTTGAAAAGAAGCGAATCAACAAATGCCCCTTAAGAACTTTAGGCTAGGATTGATCTAACATAATCTTAAAGAAGAAGTAAAAGAACTGATGCTAGTAATACAGACAACACTCCATAAGTACATTCATAAAATTTATAGTTAAGAATAAAACTTCATTTCTTAAATTGTATTAGGATTCTTCCCCAAAATTACGTTCAATTTAGAGTAGGGTTAGTTCATAAGCTATTGTATAAGACATAAAAATAAAGCCTAAGATGCCTTAATAAATGATTATGTTACATGGAAGATCAACTAGTCAAGCTGCACTTGTCAATTCTAATGCAACAGAAGATGATGAACTATAAGATTTTGTTTAATTGTTTCTATCAAAGTATATTAGATAAAAATTTATAATTAAGAACTTAAGCAGGTCAAAATGGAAATAAATAAACGAAAACAAATCAAGATTCAATTATTATCTCGAATAATTTTGGAGGCATAAAAAATAGGTATAAAAATTAGTAATTTTAGATATTTATTCTCAGTTTGTGATGGTCATGGAGTATATGGACATTATGTTTCTTAATTAATTAAAAGAGTTTTACCTACAATAATAGATTAATAATTGAAAATATTTATTGGGAAATAGGAAATAGATATTGGTGAAGATTTATATTCAGAAGTAGAGAAATGCTTTTAAAGTAGTTATTAAAAAATGACTAAAGATTTGGTATATAATTTATAATATAGAATTAGTCATCTTGTGGAATTGATATAGCATTTAGTGGATCTACTTGTTCAACTGTATTTGTTTCAGGAAATAATTTATGGTGTGCTAATATTGGAGATTCAAGATCTGTATAATATTGTTATTTATAATAAATAGATATTCATTGAATAGAATGGAGATTGCAACAAATGGAAAATTGTTGAATTAAGTAATGATCATAAACCAGATTTACCAATTGAAAAGAAAAGGATTTTAGCAAGTAAAGGACGTGTATAACCATTTGTGGCTGAGAATGGTTAAAATATTGGACCAGCTAGAGTTTGGTTGATGCATGAACAAATTCCAGGATTAGCAATGAGTAGATCTTTTGGTGATTATGTTGCATCTACAGTTGGTGTAATATCAGATCCAGAATTAATTTATCACAAAATGACATCTAAATGTGGATTTTTGGTTGTAGCTAGTGATGGTGTATGGGAATTTTTAAGCAATGATGAAATTCAACATATTATTTGTAGCTATTGGAGTCCTTAAATGAATGCTAAGAAAATTGATGAAATGGTAGAAAGTATTATAAGAGAATCTACTAGAAGATGGCAAGAAGAGGATGATGTGGTTGATGATATTTCAATAATTATTGCATATTTCTCTTGATTATTTTAATATGTTGAAATCTGAGAATTTAAGAATTTCTTTAGATTATTTTTTAATTGATTGATTATTAATTAATTAGGAAGAGATAAAAACAAAATAATCAGAATTGAATTAAATTCATAATGGGAATACCATTATAGTTACATTGTCTCTTATATAATCACTTGATATTGCTTAATATAACTATTTTGCTAAATTCTTATTTTAATCAAGTTTCTGAATGATCTATAAAACTTCTTATTCCGAAAGTTCCTAAAATAAATTAAATATATTTACATCCCAGAAACCATCACTAGCCATAACTATAAATCTATCATTCTCTGTAATTTAATATCTGAAAATTTCTGGTTCACTAATGATATATTTTTTAAGATAAAAATCTCCAAATGATCTTGTAACAGTTAATTATCCAGAGACTCGACTAATATTTTATCTCTTTGTTATAAGTCTAAAGATATAAAAATGATAATTATACCCTCCTTATTTATGTATTCTCTAATATTCTTCTTTTGATTAGGGAATATGAATAGAATTTAATTATTCAAATGAATTCTCTCTAAATACAATTGCTTTAGAATCTCCTAGATTTGTTATTGTAACAGTTTTATTTTAAATAGACAATAATATAGCAACTGATCCAGATTACATGTATTATGTTAAATTGTTATCAATATCACTAAACACTACAAATATTAAATTGTATACAATACCTTTTTTATATTCCTCATCTGACATTTCATTTTGTAATCTTTATAATAAATTTTGCTATAAATAATCAGCAACATGAGATGATCCATGACCATCAAAAATTGCATAATGATTATTCAAAACTTAATACTAAAAATAATTAAATGTTAAATATTACTCTGTCAAGCATTTCTCTTCTAGATCCACGATTCATATATAAATGATATTTTTCATTTGATTCTTCTAACTCATCGAATTACTCACATAAATCATCCACCACCTGTTGATTTTACTCATAATTTATTACTATTTCTAAATCCATTATAAAAATAAGTTATTTTTTTTTATTACTACAAATTTTTATTACAATACAATAAATAGTTAAATTATTGATATAAATTCATTATTGTTGGACTTACTATAACTTTTAATCCTTTTACATAATCCACATCTATACATATTGTCCATTCTAAGCATTTTTTTTAATCCAATTATGTTACAATAAAGTCTATGCATCTAATCTTTTGTTTTAATCCTTATTTAAACTAAAATCAATATTAAAATCCTACCAAATATTAACAAAATCCCTCATTTCTAAACTATAAGGATAATTATCCAATTTTGGAGAATCTGATTTCAAAATATTCTAAATCATTTGAATATATGTCATTTATTTATTGGAAACTGAATATGGATGTTTCCCAGTTGCCATTTCATATATAATCAATCCCAATGACCATATATCTGATGCATAAGAGTAGTTCTTACCTTCTGTTCTTTCTGGAGACCTATAACAAATAACAGAAATATCTTACATGTACATTAAAGTACCAACAAATGTTCTAGCTATAGCAATAGTGTTTTCTAATTATTTACTGATTCCAAAATCTGTCAATTTTATTTATCCTAAACTATTAATGAGAATATTTTCTGGTTTAATATCTCTATGAAGTTAATGCTTCTACTAATGCAAATATTATAATCCCATAAGAATATTATAAGTTATTGTAGCAATAATTTATTCATTTATTAATTCACTTAAATTATGCTTATAGATTTATTGAATAATGCTTCGTAATGATCCTTGATCCATATATTCAAGTACCAATCTTATGGTTCCTCAAAAATCAATGATAGAGCTACCTTCTTCATAATATGCACCATAAAATTTGATCAATTATTCACATTCACAACCATTTAAGAGTGTACTTAGATCATTTAACATCTAATGTCTCTTATCTTTATCAAAAACATTAATTATCTGATATAATAATAACATTGAATATTAACCTTTAAAGCTACTTAACAATTATAAGGTAAATATAATCCTTTACAAACATAACTAGATACTCCTTATCCAATAACATCTCCAACTTTAATTTATTAATGTGTTATCGATTCTTAAGTATTTTGTATCTATTCTCCATTGGTTGTTGTTAATCCTTCATTATTAATTTTAATTCCTGCTTTTGGAAATCTAACACTATTATGTCCACTAATAATTATAAATAATTTAAACATTTCGAATGTCATAGAACTATTTTATTCAAAATTAACTTCAATGTCAAATTCATCTTGCATTTTATATAATATTAATTATATATATATGTCATTATTTAACACTAAGTAGTTTTGGGGAACAAGAGTAGGTCCTGAAGAATTTGATGAATAACATCTTTTCGTAGACAATTCAATAATTTATGTTGGCTCATATTCAGGAAATTTAAGAATCTATTAACCTTAAAGAGGTGATTATAAACCTACACATCTAAAATAAGAAATCAATTTGCAAGATCCTATATTATAAATTCTAATTGGATATTTTGGCAATAAATCTCTTTGTGTCTTATTTCCTAAAAGAGTAGTATTTTACACTTTAGATATGGAAATACTAAAAGAACATAAATTATAAAGAAATGGATTTAATATGTGTTCTGGTTAGTTTGGTTAAGGAAGAAAGGATCTTATATGTATACAAAGTTGTGATGCTTGTCTAATGATTTATGAATAAGAATAATTACTGCATATTTGTTAATTGAGTACAGAATATTTTCCATTGCCTGGTCCTATTATTTATTCATAATAATTAGATTCATTTATTTTATAAAACAGTTGTTATGAATTGGAATGTTATAAATATGCAAATTTATGTACATTATAAAAGAAAAGAGCTTAGCCTAATTGGACATTGAATTTAGGGGAATAAGCATAAAAAATTATTGAAATTTCATCATAGAATATTTTCTATGTTATTTGTGAATAGATGTTATTTCAAGTATAATAAAGTGGGATTATATTTCATTAAAAAAGATTGGATTATCCTCCTGCTTCAATTTTAGTAACTGATATTCATACATTGATAATAACATCATTTACTCATCATTTAATGATATATAAGGATTTGAATTTAGTGTGGGCAGCAAAAACTGATCATGTTTGTCATGGTATTTCTATTGGAAAATTTGATGATATTGATAAATTATTAGTTGTATTGAATGATGAAGGATATCTCTAAGTAATATTTTTAGGTACAGAATAAATTTCTATACAAAAACAATTTTAAATTGAATAATAACATTCTTATCAATAATTAAATGAATTATATACTGGAACTCTATAATAGATCTAATTAAAAGAGGGTAATCCAGTAATTGAATAAAATGAAAAATCCTCATTGTAGATTAATGCAGAAATAATCAAATTAGCTCCAACTAGAGATTATATTGAGGATAAAGAAAATTATTTATAAGTTGAATCTTTAGTAATTTAATGTTTAGTTTATTTAAACATAACATCTAAATAATTAATAGAAAACTTATAAGTTTAATTAGTATATGATGAATCTATCTTTATCACCAATCCAAGATTCGAAATCAATGTTTTATAAGGAACTATCATACATGAATTTAATGTTTATTCTACTAAGAATTGTCCAATTGATAGAGTTGTAAAAGTACTTTGTAATCATAAAAATGGATGTTATTAAACAGAATTCACTTTACCACTTAGTTTGTTTTGCTATATGATTTAACCTGAAAAAATTGCTAAATATAGAATAACAGTTAATGTAAATAATTTATCAATTTATAACACTTTTAAAGATATAAAACCTATAGATTCATCTTTACTTAATTAAAGTTTAATGACATTATAAATGACTAATTCTACAGTTTCTATTTTAGCAAATAAATAAAATGATAGATGGAGACTTTAAAGTGATAATTTTGAAGCTATTAGTTTTCTATTACATGAACTTGTTGTTAGAGAACGTGAAAATGTAAAATATACTGAGGATGTTCCTTTGAAAGATATATTTGGTGTTATTGATGAGCATTTCACATTAAAATTATCATTAAAAGAGTATGAAAAAGATTTAGAATAAAAGGCTACTGAATTTAGAGCTATTTAAAAGAAAATCTTATAAAGATTCAAAGAAAATAATCCAGCTTCAGTTGAATCAATGAATTCATTATTGGAATTATGTTTTTAGTAATTTATATAATTAATGGATAACACATAAAAATGTTAGAATATTTTCAAATAATTATAACATAATTTATAATGTATGATTCATTTGATGTTACTATTGTGTTATTTAAGATTTAAAATTACATAAGAATAACTAGAAGAGTTAAGACGACTATTCTATTGTGATAAAGTAATAATTTAATATTATTTATTATAAGGATTGGGAAGAAGAAGTCTTTATTAATATAAATTATTACTTAAAGGGATAAATTCCAGATGTTGTACATGAAAATACTTAAAAAATTAAAAAAATCATTACAATGTTGATTGATAAATTATCTAAATAATGATTACATAATAAATAGATATATATTTTAATCAATTTTTATAAATTCTAATAGTCTCTTAAATTTTAACTCTGCAAAAGGGACAGACAACTAAATTTTTACTACACTTTAAACATGTAGCATTATGTTTACATGGCAATATTAAACAATCTCTTTCTCTTTCAACACAAATAATACACAAGTTTTCTCCAGAAATTTCATTTATCTTCATTTTATTTTATTAACAAATTAATTAATTTGTTGTACCTATTCTTATTATTATCTCTTCATTTGGATCCAAATAAAATAAATTACTCATTTTACCTTCTCCTGATAATCTCATCCAAGATCTTAAATTTAATTTAAATTCTTTACCCATTTGTTGATCCATGATCTTCAATAGTAACACTTTAATCTACAAGATAAAACTTAGCATGTTAATTTGATAAATGATGATCTTCAGGAAATGAAATATCTACTGTAGATTTTCTACCAAGTGCAACTGAAGGTTTGTCTTTATTTAATTGAAATATTATGGTATCATCTATATTTGGTCCTTCAAATACGAATAAGGAGATCTATCAATTTTATGGAGTCTTACTTCAATTCCTCCATTTTCTAATTATTCCAATTTCTAAACACAAAATTAATTACTTCCCAATTCTATTAACATTCCTTATTTTAATGTTAAACTTTTAAGTATTTTAATAAAAGTTCCTGTAGTACTTCCAATATCTTTAAGAGCAAACTAAATTTAATAACTATGTTTAAATACCATAGAATCTTAGAATATTATCTCAGCATGAAATCTACTGATGCTCTCTTCCAAAATTAGAATTTAATTGCTAGAATGTCTTCCAATTTTTGCACCTGATTCACGAACACAATAAAAATTGGATTATTAACCTTCAATAGGAGGTTATAATATTAATTAATGTTCAAATTTATTAAATCCTTGTATTTCTTATTTAATAGCTTATTCTTCTTATCTGACAACTGAACTTATAAATTGTTCATTGCCATTGTTTTCTTGATTCTCTATTAGCATTTATTCGAATTAAACATTTCCAACATTTTTTTATATAGTAAAATCTTCATCTTACTATATTTTGTTGTTTAGATTTGGCATTTTCATTTATTTTATATATTCATTGTATTCTTTTAGTCCATGATTTACCCCTAAAATTAAAAATAGAATTACAATTTAACAATTTTCTTTTTATAATTCTTTATGTAATCCCTAATTCTTCATCTAAATCTTTTTCTGTCAAGTCTTCTAAAACTGCTCCATCAATAGAACATTCAACTATTTTAATTATATTTAAATACCAAATTTTTATTCCATTTATTCTAACCCTATAAACTTAAGCCAATTTATAACATCTTGAGTCAACCATTTTTTTGGTTCTTTAGGAATCATTTTATACAAAGACTCATAATCCATTTTTATTTATATTTTTATAAAATAATAATTAATAATTCTTAATTTTCTATTTCATGTTATCATTTAATCTACCAAGATAGTTAAGAATTCTCATATATTAATTAAGAGATAATTATAACACTTAAATATGTAGATAAAATTCACTTGAAGAATGCCAGAATGACAGTGATATCATCTATTACTTCATCTTCCCTTTACCAAGCCTCTTTTGCAGCCTATGTTAATTTATTACAAGCCCCAATTGCATCTCCCTTTTTATAATACTCATTGACTGTTTCAATTACCCATTCATTTGATAAGAATCTTTATATTTAAGGTATTTATAATACTCCCAAATACCATCTGATGCAACAACTAAGAATTTGTCTGATGGTAGTAGTTAATGTTTAATGATTTCAGGTTCACAAATGACTCCTACTTAACTTGCAGCATAATCCCCAAAACTCCTTGACATTGCTAATCCTGGTACATCTTCATCTAACTTCCATACTCTTGCTGGTCCTATAGGATTTCCATCCTCATCACTATAAGCTTAAACTCTTCCTCCTCTCTAAATAATTCTAGCTTATTCCAAAAAACAATCAGGCTTATGATCTTTTGATAATTCAACTACTTATAATTTAGTATCATATCTTCCTATAATCTAATTATATTTTGTTTATAATTACAGCTCGACTATCTCCTATATTTGCACAATATAATATATTTTCAAATGCTATAACAACTACTGTTGTTGCTCCTGAATAAGTCACATCTATGCCAGAATTTAAAAGATCTTCATTTGTTTTCAAAAAGGATTATTTAAAGATATTGTTAATTGTTCTAATTTGTTTTAATTAAATACTTATCTCTATCATAATAATATGGAGCTTCCATAACTTCTTATTCTATATATGCTGGTAATATTTCTTATACAAATTAAGCTACTTAATGTCCATTGGTTCCATGACCATCAGAAACCTAAAGATACCAATCATTTTCTTTAGTTCCAAATTTTTGTATTAACTTATAAGAATCTTAATTAATTTTAGTTTAGCCAGTATAAAGCATTCCAGGAATGGATTTTGCATGTGCTTTTGTTATACATAATTAGAGAGTTGAGATATCAGGATTACTGATTGAACGAGGTCCTTTGAATAGTTTTTATTTTTATTGTTATTATTATTGTTATTACTGTTGTTATAATTAATTATGTTCTGTTTATTTAGATAAGTCAAGCAATTTTTAATATTATTTTTAAATTAATTACTAATGATATTGTAAAATCTCTTTTGATGTTTATATTTAACCAATTTTATTATCTGGACGTTCTGCTTTGATTTTTTATAATAATTGCAATGCTGATTAAGTTAAATTTTATGAATTTTCTTTAGTCTCAATAATTTTACTATTTTAACGTGCATGAGTTTTTTTTAATAAGACTGTGCTTATATCTTTAAGATCCTTTCCACTTGTAGGTCTTGATTTCTTAGCATCAACTTTTAATTATCCTTAATTATTTCTAATTTTACAAACATTAGCATACCTCAATGAATTAATATATACATTTCCTTGAATTACTGGAGATTTGACTATTTTTTATTATTAATCTGATTCATTTTTTTTTTTTAATAGAGTTGCATACAATTTATTAGGAGAAATTTAGGGGGCTTTTTATTTCATTCTAATTGGTAAATTAAATTAATTATTCTTTATTTAATCATATATTAAATATATAAAATAATTCATTTCCTTAAGTTTTTCAGTTATTCTTTAATTTAATTTGTACTATTTAAGTATTTTGATCTAGGAATATGATCTTAAGATATAGTTCTCTCAAGTAATTATTATTACTATTAAGTCAGTATCTTATTTTATTCAGTATTTTACACTTCAATCTTTACATTGCTAAGTTTTTAAATATCTAATTATAATACAATTACTTACTCTCATTTTGTAGTTTAGTTTATAAAGTGAATTAATATTTATCAATTAATTTTTGATTATCATTTTTTGTAATTACCTTTGAATTTGGTTTATTAGTGTCTAAATCTTCATTTTCAAATTTCACTTTCTACTCTAATCCCTTATCTTTCTCCAATGTTATTGATCTCATTCTATCACTTTTTTAATAACTATCCATTCTTTAATGTAAAAAAGGAGATTATAATCTTTCTCCTAAAATATTTGATTGTTTCAATTCCTATTTGAATAGAACTTCAGATTGCCGTATATCTTTATTTTTTACATTATGTATTTCTAAAGACATATCTTTTGTAGTATTGAATACTTTTTTAACAAAATTATATAATTGTTGGAAGTCTTCCTATTTTAATTTATTTATATTAAAATTTGCTTTTGAAATTTTATCATCTTGTAACATTAATTTTGTATCAAAATTTTCTTTGAGTTTATCAAATAATGAATGTAAATCATTGACTCTTTAACCTAATTCATCAATTCTTTCAAATTTTTGATTAAATGACTTAATTCTTTCTTCCAATTGATTGACCTTCTTTAATAGACTTGTTTCATATTATTCCATTCTTTCCTCTAAATATTTTAATTTATATTCTTATTGTTCCCTTAATAACATTTCGAACTAATGATTTATTAAATTTTATATTGTAACATTTCTAATATTAATTAAAATTTCGTTGATTCTTTTTTTTTTTCTCTTCATTTTGATAATACTATTAAAATAAGATATTTAAAAGTAATTAATACTTTAATATAATAATAATATTCAATTATTTTCAATATATAATAATTCTTGTTGATCATATGCAGCAACAAATATATCATTTGTAATTCCTACAATTATTGTATCATCCAAATGATGGGACTATATTAATTAAGGTTATAAATTTTGATTCAATTTCCAAATATTAAAAAATGTATCATCAGAACCAGATATAAAATATTCCCTAATAAATTAATTGAAATTTTTGTACTTTTATTAATTTATAGCTAAAGAAGTTATTGGTTTAATGTGAGAATTGATTATACTTAAGATTTCCCAATTCATAAGATCTACAACAGTTAATCTGCCAATAAAATCAGCAACTATTATGAATATCTTTGGCTATGAATCCTTTTTTTCTAAAATCTATACAGAAAGGATTGTTGTGTCTTTTGATTAGAGATCCAAAGATTTTGTCTCTGTAACTTGTTGGATTGCCAAACATTTATTATAATGAATATATCCTATATTTAATATAATATTAAAATACCTTTGGAATCTCCATAAATCAAATACTAATAATAACTGGTTAAACAAGTGGGTTGTATATTTTTGAGATTAACCCCAAAGAATTCTTATTTTGGAGTCTTTTGATCAATAAAGATTATTTTATTTTCAAAACCAATTGCATAAAAAGATTGTTAATTTTCTGGAATTATCAATGTGGCACTGATAAAAAATTATGAGATATCTCCTAATTAATTTCTTAATTTATGATATTATTATTGACCATTTTCTGAATAGAGATAATATCCATTCATAGTTGTAACAATCAAAGTTTAATCAGACATATATTGAATAGATGTAGGAATAGATTAATCCTCTATTGATATTAATCGTACTTCTCTAAATTGATTAATATGTTTTACTTAGTTTTTTTATTGACTACATTCAATTTAAGTTTATCTGCATTATAAGATAAAAAAGCCATATATTACTCTGTGCTTGTTAAATTATTCTTTAAATACAAAGGTGAAGAAGTTAAAGGTATTTTTGAATATTTCATCAAATTAATAATAATTATTATTAATTAAATTATATATATATCAAAAATATCATTTTTTTATTAAGCTTGCTTTATAATTTCTTATTTATTGTATAATATATTATTTAATATTGCTGATATTTCTATTTTTTTCAGTAATTTAATTCTGTATTTTCAATGGAGCATTAAGAATAAGCCATGCTTATTAATGAATAAGTAAATCTTCAACTATTTTTGGATCATTTGAAAACTATTTAATTAAAGTCTTAAACGGTATTCTAATCTTGCATCTACAATAAAAAGACTCGGAATATTCTTATTTCAAAAATATATCAACCATCTCTTTAAAACATTCTTAATGATATAAATGGAAACAAGGTAATGCAATATTATTAATTTTAAGAGAACTTAAACATTAATAACAAGAAAAAATTTAAGTTAGAATTATAGTTTCATCTAAATTGCTTTCAAATTTTAAATTAGAGATATCAGTCCTTTAAGTTAGAAATTTCTCTTCTTCATATTTTTATTAAGTATTTTTCTAATTAGAATCTAAGTATAACACTAATTATTATTGTTAAGATTTTTCAATGTTATTATATAGTTCATTCGTTTAATGTTATTACTTACTAGGAAACAATTCAGCTTCTGAAATGAATATAATCTTTTTTTACTATTTTTTATCTTAATTTTAATAAAGTGATTAACTTTTTATATCATAAGGTATTCTATCTTCTTTGATAATGCAACTTTATAAAAATTTTTGATTTAATTTTGATCCAATATTATTTTCATTGCCATTTATGTATTGTATATTATTGTTCTTCATTTGATAATTAAATTATATTTTATATAATATTCACATATTTAAATATAAACTAGTTTGTATTTATTGTTTAAATATTCTTATTAACATTTAATTTACATTGTTATTAAATGTTTTTTAGATAACACTATTTGCAGAATCAAAAATATTAGAATCGATATTAAATTACATTCTTCTATAATTATTTTATATTAATTAGGAGATATTTTAGATTATTCTTTTTTTTTATATAATGCTGTTGTTATATTCTCTTTCAGTCATTATTTAACTTATTTAGTTGTATTTTTTATATTATTACAATTTTGGATTTATTTGTGCTATTTCCTCAAAAAAGGTATAATTCTAGGTTATTATCTAATTTAGAATCATATAATTCACAAACTTTTGATTCATCCAACAATTAGTTGCTAATTTAAATACTATTTTTATAGAAAATTTATTATAAACTTTCTAAGTTATTTTTAAATGTTATTCCTTATTAATTTATTCTATGACTTATTTATTAAATAGCTATAATTAAAAGACTCCATTTTTGTATATCTACTTAATAATTTAAATGTTAACCTTGAATTCTTAATCATTATCTTGAGATTGAAGTTGTAATCATTCTACATATTAAGTCAATTGATTCAAATATTTCTAATATAAAGTCGTTTACTTCACGTTAATGAGAATCCTTAGGTAAAATGAAGTATATATTTGTAATATCTAATTAGCTCTTGAATTTTGAAAGGTTCTGATTTCTCTAAAGGAATAGGTTTTTAAAAGTGAACTATAATTTGCATCCTAAAACATAATTACCAATCTTGAAAAGTTTTGATGAATATTCCTTCCAGTTATCACTTCAAAAACTAAAAAACAAGTAAGTATAAATTAATATACAGTTCAAAATGCATTCAATAATTTACTTTTTTATCTCACCTTATTCTTTAATCTTATTATTGATAAGATGTAACTTCTATTAATAATTGAAGAAATCCCATGTTGATTTAAATTGAATTGTATGACCTTTTCAAGAACAAGCAAAACTTCATTTTGTAGTTACAATAATTTATTAAAAATGATGCGATTACGATCAGTTAGTCATCAAACTAAAAGACTAAATTAAGATGAACATCGTTAGCTTAAATCTTCACGTTTCTAGAGAAAAATAGTTGTATATTAAGATTGTTAGTTTATAGCCATTACATGAAGAAAACAGCATGTTGAAGGATCGTTTAAATTTAATGAAATTTGAGGTGGAAGACAATTTATAATCAATAATAGATGAATTAGATCAAGACTTATAATTGAAAGCCAAACTTATAGACTTTTAATAAATATTTAGTTTAATCAAGGAATAAATCAATAAAGATCATGAAAAAATAGATTGTTTATCTGAATAAATAGAGAGATTACAATACAATTTAAATGAGAATATAAAATAGAGAGAACAAGAATCATACCAGTATCAACAGTCAAATTCAATAATGTCTGAAGAACTTTAAAAATAAAAGGTTTAATAGAAGAAGGAGAAGGTTATTTTTGATGATCAAATAAAATAACTTAAATATTAGAATTTGATTTAGGGTTAAGAATTGGAAGAGTTAAGAAAATAAATTAATTAGGAAATAGAAACAAATTACAAATTAAATTAAAATCTAAGAAAAACTAAAGATTTAGAATAAATGTTAAAAGATTAATAGAATCATTATGAAACTACAATATAAAAATTGCGTTTATAATTAGAAAGTGATAATCAAGTATTTAAAAATGAATTAGAATAATAAGAAATAAGAATTGAATCGAAATATAGATAATTAATTTAAGAACATAAATAATTAATTTAACAAATTTCAGAACTTAAATAGAATTATAATTAAATAAAATAACAAAAAGAATCAGTAGAAAAGATTCTTGATTAAAATATTTAAAAAATAAAGGAATTAAAAACAGGGGTTATTTAAGATAAATAAATAATGTCAAAGTCTGAAAAAGCTATGGAAGAATTATAAAAAGAAATTATATATTATAAAAATAAAGTTATAATAGAAGAAAAAAGAGAAGGGATATTAAAATAAAAAGTATAATAAGATGAAGATTTAATTTAAGAATTATTATAAATAAAAGAATAATATGAGAATTTAAGATAAACATTAAAATATGAACATTAAATTGAAATAGATAAAATTATGTCAACAAATTATAGATAAATATAAGGTTTTGTTGAATAGATATAAATTTAAAGATTAAAATATGAAAAATTATTAGGTAATAAAATTAGTTTTTAAGAGGTTTAATAATATTAATTAATTAATTTTTCATAATAATATGAAGATCCTATTCATATTGAATATGTTTAGAATTTAGAATAATTAAGTGAAAATTAAAAATTAGAAATTGATAATTTAAAATAATAAATTATTTTTATAAATGAAGAACATTCATAAGAAACTGAATAAATTTAAAAGACATCTGAATAACGAATTTCTGATTTAATCTGTTAATAATAATAAGAATTATAATAATAGTCTGCTGAATTTGAAGAATTTAAATAAAAAGTATCAGCTGATTTTAATTATAAAGCATAAATAATGACCTAATAATTTTCATTTTAATTAGATTAACAAAGATAAGAATAGAAATAACTTTAGTAGATTATTGATTAATCAAAAATGAGTGGTGATGAAAAGTCAAAATTATTAGAAATTGCATCAGAAGAAATATTAACTTAAAAAAAAAAATATGATCATGATATTTATGAAGAAAGAAATACTTAGAAATAACTTAAGTATGAGTTTGAAAATAATATATTATAATTGAAATCTGAATATTAGAGATAAATAGATTATTATAAGAGAGATATTGAAAATTTACAAAATTAAATTAAAGACTTATTACATAGAGATACATTATCTAAATAAAGAATTTCAGAATTATTTAATGAATAGAGATAAGATAAAAGTCATATTAATTAATTAGAAATATAGCTATCAAAAAAATCTACAGAATTGAAAAAACAAAATGAAGTAATAAAGAATTTAAACATTCATATATCATCTTTATTGATGGAAGTAGATAATGCTAAATAAACATATAACATTTTTGCTTCACCTACTTTAAAGTCATCTCATCATTATTTAAAGAAAGTTGACTTAGATATTTTACAAGATTCATGTAAATTATCAAGAAGTTCTTCAAGAAATTTAAAAGATTCATAAGAACTTTAACCTATTGATATGAAAGCCAGTCGTAATAAATCTCAATAAGCTTAAAGATTTCATTAGATAAAATAATAGTTACTTCCATATTGATTATTTTGATCAATTAATAAATCTTAAGTATTTTTTTAAATAAAATTATTTCATTCCCATATATATCTATATTATTGTCTTATTATTAGATTTTGTTGATCATTTGACTTAAATAATATATTAAAAATTATTTATAAAAATAATAATTAGATAATTATTAATTTAATATTAATTAAAATTATATATGCAAAATAAGAATTATTAAAGGTATTTTTATTTATATACATTAAAAATATTTATATACTACTTAATTTAAAATAAATTATAGATATTGTAAATACATTATTTATAATCTTAGATAAGATTTCGTCTATATATAGCAAAAATTATATAAAAAATGTTTCATTACTTTCTATTTTTTATCATATTCATCAATAATAAAAAATTTAAATCTATTTACTTTTTATCATAGCTAACTAACTTAAATTATTTATAAATTTTTGATATAAATATTAGAAATAAATTCCACTCAAATAATTCAATATTTATATCATTTATAAATGATAATTAAGTATATCCTCTTAAATATACTAATCCAATTATGCAAGACAATCAAAGTTTAAGGAGATTTATGTTCTTGTGAAGATCTTTAAGTTTCAGAATGTTTGAATTCTTATAAATGTTCAATAAATGGAAATGTTTGTGGAAACTTAATTTGTTCAAATAGATCTTCAGGTTAATGTTCATCAACCGAAACTAATTATAAATGTAAATGGAATGCTTCTACATAAACTTGTATTGATTATACATATTCATGCTCTGAAATTCCATTAACAGATTGCTCATATAATTCTCAAAAAGACATCAATTGTGTTCCTGATGCTAATTAAAATTGCGTAGAGTTTTCTTGTGCTCTAGCATCATTTAATTGCCCTAGAAACTTATGTTCTTATACTTACAACGGTGTATGCTCAAATCCAATTTAAGGATTGAATTGCTCCACTTTATCTAATAATCTTTGTGATTTTTATTATGATGGAGTTGGTCATGTTTGCAATTTGAATGATATAGGTAAATGCACTTCTTATAACCTTTACGGATTAAATTTTAGATGTTCTGAATGGAGTGATTCAAAAAATGCTTGTTAAAAAATCAACTGTATTTATGATGAAGATACAAAAAAATGCAGAGAATTCAAATGCATAGAAATAATTGATCAAAATTATTGTACAAAATATAATTATAATAATGAATTAAAAATTGTTGAAATATGCAAATGGTATTAAGGATAATGTTCATCACTTGAAATAACAGATATAACCAAATTTAAAGAATATGAATGTTAAGAAAAAACTGGAAATAGATTTTGCTGGAATTCAACTTATGGATGTTAACCTTGCAAATAAATCTAGATTATTAATTCAGATCCAGATTTATGTAATACTTGTATTTAACAAATTAATACTTGTGCTAAACTAAATAATACTTATTCTTATTTAACTAATATCTGCTTTGAAAAAATAACTTGTCCTACTTGTCCTACTTGTTAAACTGGTTCAACCTGTCCTACTTGTCCAACCTGTCCAACCTGTCCAACCTCTTTAAAAAACCTGACATGTTCTGATCTAACTAAAAATTATGGTACTTTAATAGGTCAATGCTATTCTAAAGATACAGAAAATTCTACTAATACAAATTGTCCAAAAACAATATCAAGTTGTTCTGATCTAGTTAATAACCATAATACACAGTGCAATAAAGATTTAAAATAAGAAACATATTGTTCAAAATAAGATTTTCCGCAATACAAAAGTTGTGAAGAACTTAAATTATAATATTCTGATATATTACCAACCTGGTTTGATTGCGAGTATCAAAATGTATGTATAGAAAGCTCAGATGATAAAATGTGGATTCCTTTTCTGATTCTCTTTATTATATTTTTTATCATAGTTGTTGGAATAATAATTAAGAAATATTTTAAAATCAACTCAACCACACAAATTGCAATACCATTTGACAATAAAGATTTGGATGGTGATTTACAACGTTGATTTTTGATTTTTTTTTTAAGATTTTTTAAATTATAAAAAAACATGATATTTTGTTCGAATATATTATTAATGGCATCTAAGAATAGAGATACCATCTAAATTGATTTTACTTATTGATATAATAATGATGAAATTATCATTCAAATAGACTGTAATTAAGGATATGAAATAATGTTTATCTCTATATATTAATCTAACTTAAACTAAGAATAAATACTACTATATAATAATGCTATGATATAAATATGTAATTTATTAATATTAGAAACTAACTTTTACTTATAGATACTCATTATATTCTAAAAATAACATCATTATAGATGTCTTTATTTTAGGCATAGCTTTTGTGAATATATTGAATATTTTCCGTGATAAAATGATTTAACTTTAGAGGTTTATGATATTTCTAAATATTATTATACAATAAATTTCTATTGCTTTTTTTATGATATTATACTCTTATTCTTTTCTTCTGAGATTTATTATTTCAATTTATAATTCTTTCCTATTTATTAATTTACAATATCCAAATATTTGTTTATCATAAACTCTATTCATTCAGATTGTCAAAATAAATATTATAATATGTATATATTATTTTCTTGATTATTTAGTTAGTAAGTTTCCATAAATTAATTAAAATGCTGTTACACGTTCATACAAGCAGTGGTTATAGAGAATCATTACATAGAAGTTTAAGTAGAAAGAGAGATCGTACACTCTCATTTTAATTGATCTCTAGAACTTAATTGACTGATCTCACCAATTAAGGTACATCCAAGTTTGGGAAAGAAGAACCAAAATTTGAATAAAAGAGACCAGAATCTAAGAATTTGAAATTGAAAAATTGTAAAAAGAAATTAAATAAACAACCTTCATATCTTCCTGAGATGACTCATTATTAGAAAATATTGCAAAAATACTTATGATTAATTATATTATATAAACATTTGAAATATTAGCATTCAAATTATGTATATCCATACTTTAATACTATTTCTGTTAGAGATTTATCAATAAAAAAGAAAATACATACATATATATATTACATTAAATAGAGTTGTTTGAAAATTACTTAAAGTAAATGTAAATAGAGTATTAATAAAAAAAAGCAGAAAAGATAATATATAAATATAAAATATTTAGTCACTTTTAAGCTTTTTAATCTGGATTATTATTATAGATTGCTTTTATAATAATTTCTTTAAATTCTTAAAAGGAAATCTAAAAATAAATAAAATTTTTTACAGAACCATCACCGTTAGCATCTACTTCAGCTAATAATTCCTTCCAAACTTCATCACTTACAGCTGCATCATTACAACCAAATATGCCTTTTATTTCATCAATTGATATTGAACCACTTCCATCTTTATCAAACATTCTAAATGCTTATTCTAATCTTGAATCTTCGATAAGTTTCACCTTATTAAATGTAGCCAAAACAAATTCTATTTTAAATTATATATATATATTTAACCTGAATAATCAATGCTTCCATTTTTATCTTAATCTATATACTTCATTAATTTTTCTACTTCTAATTCTGCATCAGTATAACTCATTACTTTTGAATAACCTCACCTATATTTATTTATTTATACCAATTATTAATTCTTCTTTTGAGAGTCTTCCATCTCCATTTAAATCCAATGCCTAAAATTATTATAATAGTTCCTATTTCTCTTAACTTGTTGCCATCTAATTTACCATAAATGTTAATGCAGCCTCTTAAAACTTCTTTTCAACTCTGAAAGTTCTTAAATTATTAAGAACCTCTGTTAATTAAGTTAAATTCATTTCTGTCTTTTTTACATAAGTAGTTATCCATGGATCTCTTTAAGCTTATTCAGCACTAATTCTTCTTTTTGGATCCCTCTCTAACATTTTTTTAATCAGTAATTTTGCTTCATATGAAACTTAACTCCATTCCTCACCTTCAAAAGTTAAATCACCTTCTCTAACACTTTCTAGTATCTCTTATTCAGTCTCTCCATTAAAAGGTGGAAGTCCGCAAAGTAAAATATATAATATAACACCACAAGACCACACATCACATTTTTCATCATATTTTCTCTCTAAAACTTCAGGTGCTATATAATATGGCTTATAGTTTTAATTAGATTTATACTGTTCCTAATTTCTGATTCATTTTGTAACCAGACTCAAATACTCTACTAGTACCGAAATCTACAATCTTAAGTAATGCTTATGGTTTATTTGCCTCATATAATATATTTTCAGGCTTTAAATCTCTAGCTCATTATTAAAATTATTAACCTATGAACTATTTTACTTTTATGGAGATAATTAACAGCACTAAGAATCTATTTCATAGTTTCTGCAGCCTTTCTCTCCGAAAAGGCCTATTGATCTTAAATTTTATCAAATAGTTCTCCTCCTGTACATAATTCAGTCACAATATAGATATTTTTATTATCTTAATAGAACTCATAAATTTTTATTATGTTTGGATGATCCTATTATCTAAATTCAATCTTTACTAATCTTTTTAAAATTTCAATCTCTATTCTCAATCTCTCAACCTCTGCTTTGCTTGCTTTTTCTTTAGATATTACTTTTATTGCTCTAACTTGATTTGTGACCTTGTGAATGGCTTTCCTTACTTCTCCAAAAGCACCTTATGATATTTATGCATTGAAACCTTTTCCTATCGGTGGTTTAAGTAGTGTATAATCATGAGTTATAGATCCATATTTTTCAGCTACCATGCCTTGAGAAGAAATTTTGAAATGAGCAACATCCTTAACTAAGGGAAATATAAATTTAACTACTCTTGTTTGGATTATCAACTTCTACTTATTTGATTGATCCACAACCCATAATGATTTATATAAGATAAAATATAACAAATTTTTCCAAATAAATTGAGCTTTTTCCAGAAATTTGCAATTTATGAAACTTGTCAAAACAATATGTTATTATATATATTTCTAAGATAAAAAAAATATATTCATTTGAAATATTAATCTAGATTAATTTAATTTCTAATTATTAAAGAATATTTTATAATTCATCTTTTTTGGCTACAAGACAGAATAAATAATGGATTTAAAATTATATTTAGTCAATAAATTCTTAAATTAATCATTTATTATAAAGATTACTTTTTAACATTATGAATTTTAAGTTAATATATTCTTTATTTTCATTAATATAATTATATATATGTATCATTTATGGATTAATATTAAAATAAAGGATTTATTTTTACTTTTTTGAAATTGATAATAAATTTCTTATTATTTATTACATTATTTAGAATTCAATTTAATTCAAATTCTAATATGAAAATAAGATTAAATAAAGGTTTTTTTATTTTTTTACTATATACAAATATATCTATCTTTTATTCTATATATGAATTTTGATTGTCATTAATAAGCAACAACTTTTATAAATATAAATAAATTATTAAATGTATTATAACTCTAAATATGAAATTTAATAATTCTATTTGATAAACCAAAAATTATATTTAATTTGTAAAATACTCATTTATGGTAATATATATAGATTATAATATTTTATTTATAGCGATTCATTCTTCAATTTATTATAATATTGAATTCAATTTTTTAGTAATTTAGTCATCTAATTTAAGTTTTTCTTTTAATTTAGAGATCTCATTATCATCTTAAAGATTAATAATTTCTTATTCAGTTTCTTCCCTGTCTTCTTTTCTAACAGTTGATTGAAGATCCAAGTCATCAATACATTAAATGTTATCTGTAAATATCACTCCTTCACTAGATCTTTTAATCCAAGGTGCTTCTGGTTTATTCTCCACAACTTTAGGCTTTAAAAAATAATTAATTTAATTACAGATATTTTTTGAAGTAATTACTCATCAAATAATATTGGCTAAGAAGGGAATTCAACAATTGGTAAACAAAATGACATCCTAATTAAAACAGAATATTTTTTCAATGGTAATTAGATTGCAGGATAAATTGAACAAAGTCTATTATGTTAAGGGAATAATTAAAATTCCTATATTTTTGAAAATTCTTCTTCTGGAGGAGTATCCAATAAATCATCACGTAATAATTCCATCAAAATCTATAATTAAACTCTAAATTCTATTTAAGTTAAGTGTTCATGTAATAAAGTAAGTGTTTCAAAGGCTTCTTCTAAATTTCCTAAAATTACATCTAGTATTGCACAATTATAAAGATGTTCATAGATATTATAAGTCTTATTGGTAAAATCAAAATCCTCTAGAGTGTTCTAATTAATCAATTAAGAATTTCTTGATTTCTTAATTTCCTTTTCTTTTAAATCATATGAAAAACGAAGACATTATTTTGCTTTAGAATACTATGCCAAGTATGTATAAAATAAACCTTTGTAAAAATAGATATCAGACAATCTGAATATCAATCCTTCCTATTATCCTTTTTAAATTTAACTTATAGTATTTATACTATCTTCTAGAATCTTTGTAGATATTAATTAACTAGTATCTTTGAGTATTGTTAACATTTATTTATCAATAATGGCCTCATGACTATGTAATTTTTCTATTATAATAGATAATTCATTGAGTGCTGAATTCAATTCCTTACCATAAATTAATACTTTAACTTTCTCATAATATCCTTCAAGATTTTTACAATTACTAAATGCTTAGATAGCTTCATCGTATGCTCCAATTAAAAAATAAAGAATTCCTATAGTGTGATAGTTTATTGTATATTATTCCTTTAATTCAATATATTTTTATAGATCCAAATAAGCTGTAGCAACATCACCCAACATTGTTAATAGTTTACATCTATTAAGGTAAGATTCAGGATGATTTTGATCTAAACTTAAACAAATTGAAAAATCATTGACAGCTTATTTAAATAGTTAACGTTAACAATAAAGTAATCCTCTAACATAATAATGTTATGCTTAATTATCTTCAGACTTTTCAATAGCTTATTCTAAATCTAAGGCAGATTGATCTAAATTTCCAAGGGCAAAATGTAAAATTCCTTTATAGAAAAGTAAATTAGATTATTCAAAAACTTTAGCAGCTCTTTCAAGTAAATCCAAAGCTTCCTATAAATATTTTATTCTATTTTCTTCACTTATTTTTTCAAGACTTGAACAATATTTTTTAATTTAGATAATTGCTTAATAAAATAATGGTTCCATTTTATTTGGTAACATTTTATGAGCTTGTAAAAACTCTCTTTTACTTTATTCTAATTCATTATCTTCATATTTAATTATCCCATGACAAAGTAGTTTATTATATAGAGATGCCTATCATTTTTAATAAAATTACTTTCTCCAATAAATTTTCTTAATATAATTCTAAATCTTGGTTAGCTAAATTGTACTTTGATAAACAAAAATACCCATAAGCTCTATATTGATGTGCTTAAAATTTAAGATTGTCACTTTAATGATTTTTAGTGATCATCTCTGTCAAAAGATGAGTGCCTTCCTCAAATTTTCTTTTCATTAAATAAATAGCTCCTCCAACAAAAAGCTCAAATTTTTATAATTATGTTTTATCAACATCAAGATAAGCTGCTCTATCAAGTTCATGTTAAGCAGAATAATAATCATTTTATTCAATTTTTATTTTTACAATCTCATAAAGAGCTTTAGTAACAGGTTTCTTTTCACTATTAAATTTAATTGATTATTCAAAAGCCAAAAGAGCATCTTAAAGACGTTCTAAAATTAAATTAAATAATTACTCTACTTTTGCATCAAAATTCCTTTAAAATAATAAACTTCAGAATCATTTGGACAAATTTCAAGTAATAAATTCATATCTTGTTTTGCTTTTTCAAATTCTTTAATTTCTAAATAAATTGTGAATCTTTTTAAAATAATGGATTTTTATTTTGAAAACTCTTCAAATTCAATAGCTTTATTCAATTCTTCAATAGCCTGTTAAAGTTAGTTGATTTATTTATAACAATCACTTAAACCAATATAACCAATAGGTTTTTTTGGATTGATATGAATGGCTGTATTAAAGTCTCTCATAGCTTTTTCATAACTTTTATGCTTTAAAAATAACTTAGCTCTAAATATTAGAGCTTCAAAGTATCTATTGAAATGATTGATACCTTAGGATATCACATTTATTGCTTCATTAATATGATTATTTTTTTTTAAAGAAAGTGCTAAATACATATATGCTGTTCTTTTATATGTTGGAAATGTTTTTATGAGTGTCTAAAATTATTCAATGTATTTTTCTTCTTAATCTAGAGACATGTAACATAATCCTGATAGATATAAAGCTTCTGGATTTAATCCATATTTATTAAGGTATGTTTAAAATATTTTCAATGCTTCTTCAATCTTATTATCTGTAAATAATTTCTTGCCTTCATTTAATTCACTACTAGTAGCTACTTCATTACAAACAATATTGTTTCTACTATGATCTTCAAGATTTTAAATAAAACTTTCATCTTTATATTGATAAACTATTTACAATTATGAGAACTGACTGAATGTATTTTCTTAATTCTATTACTTGATGAACGATTAATTTGAGGATTTAAACAATTTGTAGAGTCATAAATAATTCTTTTATTGGGTTATTTGTAATAATTCACTTATTGATGGATCCCATTTCCATTTATATGTTAACTAATCGATTTGTTTTTTATTCTTCTTACTTCAGTAGTAGGATTTTATTATAACACTTTTGGTGGTAATTCTGAGAGTTTTACTTAATAAATTACTTCCTACATTAGGTTGACTACCCAACTTTAAAACTATAGTTGATGGTTCTTTATAATTAATTTTGGTATGTCTAGACTCTCTTAGCATTGGTGGTCTTGTGAGCCTACAATTAGAGTTTATTTTACATTTTGTTGGAATATTATTTGAAAAATATGACAATATAAATATTTGTTTATTTTAAATAACTAATTAAAGTCATGCGCAAAAGATTAGGAGCCTTACATGCAGATTCTTTGGAATAATATATTCAATAATCTTAATATTCTCAAGAACTATTATACTAAACTAAAGTAAATGAGAAATAGTTTGATTTAAAGGAGTTCGAAAACACTGATAAGGATACAAATGTAGTATATTAAGAAATGAACCTATTTAGACATCATTTTAAGAGGAACAACAAGATTAAAAAGAATATTTCAATATAAACATTCTTATAGTTGATAATTCAAATCAAATAGGTGAGGTTTTTAAATATTGTAATACTCTCAAATAACCGAAATCAAATTATCATTTAGAATATTGTTCTAAAGTGGAATAATCAAATTCCAAGTAAGTTCACTTTCACTTTTGGATTATTAATCAAGAATCACCAAAATACTAGGAATTAATAAATGGTATATCTTCAACCAAATATTTAGTATATTTTACAATAGCAGATGCATATATCTATATATATCATAAATATCTAGAATTAGAATTTTAATTATTTACAGAGAAGGTAAAAAAGTTGAACAATAATCAAAGCAGTATTATTTTTAAAGTTGCTAACAGTAAAAGAGTCAGCGTAAAATATAATAAAATAATAATATTAGAGTATGAATAATCTTTAAGAGAACCAAATGATTATAGAGATAACATTATAAAGTTTAGATGAAGTATTAGAAAGAGTAAAAAGTTAATTTATTTGATTAAATTTGGTTTCACTTTGCATTAATGTGCATATTAAGTGATGATAGCTAATTGTTGTATATAATTGTATAAAAGTTCAATTACAACAAGATACTTATAAAATTTATAATAAAAAAAAATAATCAATCATTTAATTAAGAAATTATAGCTGTTCCCCTTAAAGTCCAATATTCTGGTTTCTCTGTTTTACTCATCAAATCCTAAAATATTATTATATATTACAATAGATAAAATGAAATTTGTTGATTAACCTGTAGTTGAGAGAACTCCTGTTCTATTTGATGTTTTATAGCATGGACAACTAAGCATATAGATTACATAATATTACTTATAATATTCTTCTCCAGTCTAATATTCCTCCATTGGTTAGAAATACATCATGGCAAGAGGGAAATAAATTTAACCTACTTATTATTCAATTAAAGTTTCATGTTAATAATCCCATCTTGCTCCTTCCAAATATAGACCATATACATATACTCCATCTTTAATTTCATCTCTAATTCTATCTTATTCTATATCCAACACTTTAAATTTGAAATTAAGTTTATTAATTGGAATCTTGTATTTTCTAGAATGTGTTTATAATACTCCAGTCAAAAATCCTTAAGGATAAAATAATCCAGACATCCAATAAGCAGGAATGAAATCTTTTTCCATCCAAGATCTAATAAATTGTACTCTTGCAATTAAATCTTTAAACCAACTTGAAAGTGGTTTCAAAGTAGAATATGATTATTTCATCCAATTAGGAGGAATAGCATTATTAAGAAATGCTAAATACATTTCATCTAATTCCTAAGATATTAGTACAAAACCTTTTATTGCTTATTACAATTAAATTAATGTAGATTGAATTAATTCAATTAATTTATTGAATTTATCTATTTCTTAAAATAAAACAGTTGATAAAGATTAAACACTGCCATTTTCAGTAATTTAATAATGTCTCTAATTACAAACATTTTTATCCAAAATTTCTGGAAGATTACTTTAAAAGTATATAGCCTTTTCCATAACAATCATATCAGGAGATTTCTGAGTACTAGTACTACTTACACGAGGTTAAATGGATAATATGATATCTAATATTTTTTAACTCTCCTAAGTTTAGAATACAATATTTGCATTTTCATGCATACCAAATACTTCAGGATCTTCTTAATTAGGTAATTAAGATATATAATTAATGTAATCATCTTCTGGTAAATAATAAATTCCACTATTTGAGAATTTTACATTGGTTTCAATATGATCACCTAAATACTTTTTCAATATGGAAGTTAAACATACTCTATCTTAATCATCAGTAACACGACCACCATAATTTATTTAACCTATCATAAATTACATTGCATCCCAAGGAATTTCTTCTTCTTAAGAAATAAACATTTTCATCATTTATATACTTATATCAAGATCAGAATCATTAAATTCATATGAAATATTAAATCCCAAAGGTCCAAATTTCCTTCTCTCTTACACTATTGCATGAAAGAAGGAAATGCTGAAAAATAATTATTTGAATAACTTTTGTTAGTTATCTGCTTGCTAAAATTCTTAGTAAGATCTAAGTAAATTAGATTTCAATCCTCTAGGTGGTTCTGTTGTAAGTTTTAAACCATTCTATAATGTACTTACAGGAAAATATGCAGCAGGCATGGAAGTCAAAAAGATTCTGAAATTATTATGAACTTCAATATGATGTGATGTTAAAGATTCCATTAATTTTTCTAATTAAGGCATCCATGATCTTGCTAAATGACAATTTTAAAGCATAATCCATGTTCCATCTTTCTATCCTTTCTAAATCAAATTTTCTGCTTTTTTTCCTTATCCTTGTCCCAAAGAAATTACATCAATTTAACTTTATTACTCTTTTGCCAATTTAAATAATGTTTAAGTAGGATCTGCACCTGGAGATAATATAAATATTATTGGAGTATGTGATTCTGATGATTAATAAATTTCTTCCATTGAAGATGAAGATAAATTTATATAGAATTCTCCAAACAATTCAATTACATACTCAGTTAAACCAAACATTATTTTTTCAGGTTTTAAAGCCTTTATTATTAACAATCTATAGAATGGATTTAATGTTGAACAAACAGCAAGTGGAGATTATGTTGGGAATGATGCTTAATAAATATCATCTATTTAAGCGAACTCTTTCCAATACAATAAATTATTTTTAATATCTGAAGATAAATCAGTTAATTCTGTAATTTATTCTTAGATACATAAAATTAAATTCCATTGAGAATCTTTCATAAATAATTTATCAGGATTAATTATTGGAGTTGAAGGTATCTAATCTCTTAATAATAAATTCCATGCTGCATTTGAAATTGACCCATTTTATCTCTAAACTTAAGCACAAATTAAAAATGAAAAGATCTTTCTATGTTATTAAAATAAACCTCTACAAATATCTTTAAAGACAGTCTAAGTAATTGTTTCTTCTAAGTAAAGCAATCTCTCACTAAGTAAATCAGTCTTTGGAGTGAGATTTAAGGAAATATTATATAGCTTTTTGAAATATTGAAGAGAATATTAATACATTGGATCAATTAAACTCATATCTGAAATTACAAAATATAATATTGTTCCTCTTATAGCTACTGAATGATAAAGATTTCTAGATTCATTAATCTATTATTCTACAATAATTGTTTCTTCAAGTGATTTTTGAATATCAGCAGATTGAAATTTCGAGACTTCAAGAGTGTGGATTAATTATTCATTATCTAATATCATTCCTTAAGCATTAGCTAAAAGATCTAAAATAGAATCTTAAGCTCCTTTGAGTTGTTTATTAGCATTACTCATTTTTATAATGATTTCATCTCTTTACTTTTCTATCTCTGGTTTTTCAAATTTCATTACATCACCCAATAATTAATCACATAAACCCTCAAAAGTGATACTAAAATTAATTACTGTAGTTTTAATAAATACTTCTGGTAAATAATTTGGATTTGCTATTTTTGTAGTGAAATACAATTTAAATTAATTATGATAATCTACTTTTTAATCACCAACTTTTATAAGTCTACGTCCATCTACTTCAATAATTTATTTTTAAAGAACTGAATCAACAGATGGTTCTAATTTCTCTTCTACTTCTTCAAATAATACTTCATATCCTGAACTTATGCATTATTATAATCCTTTTAAAAAATGTTATTCTGTAAATCTCATTACTTTCAATTCTTTATTAAATTATTTTAACCATTTATTTGCTTATCCTTATGGATCAATCATTAAAGGCCAACGATCAGCTCTAGTAACAATTACTCCATTATCAATTGAAATGGCATCATTAGGTAATCCACAAATAACCCAATCTCTAATAACAATTGGATTTTCTAGAGTAGTAGATAAAGAATAATTATCAGAAAAAGGAATATCTAATTCTTTTAATTTATCAATTGCATTTTTAATCAATTATTCTCTATACTATCCAGTAAATGCACCTAGATAACTGACTGTACTAGCAGCCAAGAAAACATCTCCAATTATTTACTATAAAACTTATTCTATTAATTTAATTTAATCTTTCCATCTTATACCTTCATCAGCTAATAAATATGTTAATTTTTCAGCTGCCACTAATCTTTTCTTTGTTCTTTCTAATTCTTTTTCTAATTCATTCTTTTTTTCTACTGTTTCATCACATTCTTTTTATAATTTAGCTACTCTATCTCTAACTTTTTATAATTCATCTTATTTAACTGCCAATTCTTTATTTTTCACTTCTAATTTTTATTACATATCTGCCACTTTCTTTTTTCTAGGTTCTACTTCTTTAGCAATCTTAGAATAATTATCAATAGCTCTACACCACATACATAGACTTTTACATGCTTAACTTTTTTAAGCAACACAAATTGGATCAAATTCAGGCTTAATTGTAATGTATCTCAATTTCTTCAACATCTATTCAGTAATCTAACTTTTATCATATTTAATTAATCTCTCCATAAAATCATTACTAAGCATAACAGATTTTGCTGAATTCCAATCTGTTTTCTCTTACAATAATATACAAACAGCTTCTAATACCAATTATACAACAGGAGGAGGATTGATAAATCCTTTAATTTCTGCAATATCATTTTTGTTAATTCTTTATAAAGCTTCTTCTGCTTCTTTCAATGCAGGTAATGCTTTATTTAATTCAGTTTAAGCTTCATCTGCTATTATTTTAATTTCAGATGCTTATTAATTTACAATTTATGCTTCATCATTTACTAGTCTTTCTTTTAGATTAGCTTCACTTTAATCAATAGCTAATTATTTCAAAAATTATTCTGTTTTAGCAGATTATTCAATCAATTATGGTTATATCTCTTGCATTTCTACTTTCAAAACAGCCACAGTCTCATTAGCCTTAAATAATTTATCTAATCCATCAGCTAATTTTCTTTATATCAATCCATGTTCTTATTGTTTTTATATTAATAAATTAGCATAAAGTTATATTTAATCTAAATATGATTTAGGTGTTGTATAAACTTATCTTCTTAATTCTTTCTAATATTTTTCACATAGATTTGCAACTTATAAATTGACTTCCATACACATTTATGCCAATTAATCTTTTTATTTCAAATTAGGTATTTTGTCTAAGAATTTATTAGCTACTTCTAATAATGCTTCTTTAGGCCATTAAGTAAACCAATCAATTGTACAACAATTTACCAAAGATGGGAATTTACGACATCTAATTCTTAATTGATTACCAACTGGACTCATACATAATACAATATGTAATGAATTTCTGATACCTTCCACAAAGAAGGTCCATAAAGATTCAGGTGAATCTAATCTTTTAGCTTTAATTGCTAATGGTCTTATAGTATTGTATACTTATTCTAAATCTTCTTTCTTAGCAAATAAGTTAGGAACTTCTCCTGTATTGAGAATGTTATTAATATCTTCTAAGAAACTTTCTTAGATAATTTAAGCTTCATTGAATATAAATGTTAATGGAATTCTTTCTCCTCCAGTTTTCATTAGAATTTTAATTAAATCAGCTCTAAATGAGTCAGCATTATAGGTTTTAACAATTTCAATTTAAAATATCTCAGATCTCATAAGAAATGAAGCTAATTTAGTAAGACTTTATTTTCCAGATCCACCAACACCTATTAACATTGCATTTCCTCTTGGTTGTCTAAATATTCTAGATATTCTTAGAATATGTTCTAGAGCATCATCAAAAAATACTAATTCCATTTTATCATTTGTTGCCATGATATAGTCATCTAATTTATCTTATAATGATTTCACAATAACTTTTCTTTTTTCACTTACTTCTTCATATAAAACATTTGCAGCTTCTAATTTTAGAATATCACTAAATAATATATTGCTTGATATATCATCCTTATTAACACTAAAGTACCTCATTAATAATTCAACTGCTGTATTATAAAACCAAAGTTTATCTTAAACACTAATCAAACGATCACAAAAAACTCTTGCACATTCATGAACCCATAATTTAGCCATTGTATCATTACTATTATTACATGAGATAGGTCTGATCATCAATAAACCTTAAAATACTTTGCTAATATCTCTTGAATTAAAAGTATAATGAAATTTTGCTGGTATTGGTAATAATTCTTAAGATATTCTTCTAAATAATTCAACTGTTATTCTAGTGATTTAATCACTTGTCTTCCTTACATTCTCACTAAAATTAATACTATTAAAGTATCCTTTCAAAATAGATCCATAAATCATCTCCAAAATAGAATCAGATTAATTTGGCATATTCAAAACATTAAATTATCTTACAAATCTTGAAGATAATTGATTTCTTCCACCTCCTGGAGGTCCACCAGCTATCAATAGTGTTACATCTTCAATATGTTTCCAAAATAATTTTGTACGATCAAAAGTTCCTTATAATTCAATCATCTATCTTAAAAGTTCAATACAAGGTTAAGCACCATATTTTTCTAAAGCTGGCATATTGATATCATCAATAAAAATAGCTATGGTTTCATTTACTCTTGCTCCAAAGAGTATTTTTCCCTTTTTAATTAGTTTAGATTCTATAGCCAATTAGGTTTGCTTTGATTTTGTTTATGCTGAAAAATTCAATAGTACTGGTTATACGTTCTCATTCAATTTCATTTCATATAACAATGATTATACTAACATAGACTTACCAACTCCTGTTTATCCAGTAATTAAAGTAGGTATTTATTCTCTAATTAATAATTACATTATATATTGAAATTTCAATGTGTCTACTGTTTAAACAACAATGCTGAAAAAAGATTGATCTTTTACAAATTGAAATTCTTATAATTGGGATTCCCATGATTATAAGGTAGTAAAATCATTTCCATCAACATAGAAATCAAATATAGTATCACCTTTTGGGTATAGTAATGATTGAAATTGGTCTTTGAAATATGTTGCAATCTAAAATAATAATTAATAAGAAAAAATAATAATATAGATATAGAGAGTTATAAATTAATAGAATGTTCCTATTAGTAATTTAAATAAAGTGTAAATTTTAAGACTTTATTAAATTACATCTAGGATTTAATTTTTGCAGGTACCTTATCCCATCTATTTATAAACTCAAACAGATCGGGGCTAAATTCACTGCAAAATTAAGATTGTTGAAATAATATATAATAATGTACCTTGTCATAATATTTCTATTCATATGATGCACATAATCCCCAAATACAACTATATGCAAATACAGCTGTAATTTATTTAGGTATATCAGTAGATTTCTAAACTAAAATGGACTTCAAAAAGTAAGTGAATATGTTACAAACACTTTTTACTCTCTATATTTCTATTGTAATAAAAGGTTCATCAAGATTTCCTAGTTTCTCTAATAAAAATTTATATTAAGATTTAAATAAATTTCTTATTAAATCTAAATATTTTGGTTCTATTTATATTGATTTCTTAGACTTTTCCTTAAGTTGATTACAACATTTAATCTAACCCTTTTCTAAATCTGAGAATGTTTCCTCAATCCAACATTCCACATAATTGTACCAATTTATATCTTAAACAGTCATATAAACCATCCCACATCTACTTACAGTGGCAGGAGATGCAACTGATAAATCCTGAACTTCAAATAGCATTCTTAATTCATGTCTCAATTTAATTCTTTCTGAATTAGCCAAACATAAAGTCATTGAATCATCTAAAACTGAATTCATATTCTCAATCCATAATGCATCTACAGGTCCATCAAAAACAATCCAATGTCTTTCTTTACTATTATTACATTCTCTAATTATTGAACTTGCTAAACCATCTTACCATTCATTTGTAAAAGGATCAACTTCTCCATAAAGTTCTCCCATTGAAATAGACTTAGGATTTAAAATAACATATTATAATTCTTAAAACCTTGGATCTTACGATAAATTCTATACTTTTATATCAGTAATTGTTTCTGCCAATATTTAATAACAATTAGTTTTGCCAGATCCACTACCTCCAACAATCATAGTACCAAATCTTACATTTTGAGTATCAAATAACTACAACATTTTAGTTATAAAACTTGGTATGATTTACAATTTAAATTATCTACATTTTTTATTTAATTATTATTCCAAGAATTAAAATGATGAATTTGCTATTTCAACTTTTGGAAATAGATCTTAAATAAGAGCCATAAATAATGGTATATCATCCTTCAGGAACTTTGGAATATTGGCATCACGCATAGCTTTAATTAATACAATATCTTCAGGAATAGTTGTATCTGCTCTCTTTAATGAACCAGCCATGACAAGTAAGGATTTAACTGCTCTCATACCAAAATCATAATGATCTTATTATGATAATTATTATGATGACAATTTATATAATTAAACCATCTTACTTGATAAATCATTTGCATTTTCAAATCCTTCTGCAAATAACATAATTTCTGCAATTAATCTATAATCAGGAATCATCATAGCTACAGGTCGAAAGAGTGATTTCAAATTATCTGGTAATTCTGTTCTTCCTGCATACCCTGGATTCATTGTAATAAAAACTCCATATGTATTCTTTAATTAGATATGTCTACCATCAAATAAAAATTCTGTCAATTATTACAATTAAGCAATACGAATAGTCAATAATTATTATGCTATAACAGAGAGTACTTCTATATCAATTCTATTGAATTCATCTAAACAAGCCCATGCTCCTTGTTATGCTAAACCACTAAATAATTTGTTCATAGTTGCAGCAGTAATTTAATCTGAACAATTAAATACAATGCAATATCTTCCCAAACATTTTGCTAAGTCTTTTGTGGATTCTGTTTTTCCTGTACCTGCTGGTCCTGCAGGAGCTGCACCTAATTAATTAGTTAAGGCTGAAGTAATTGTAATCCAACAACGATCTGTAAGTGGAGTGATAACTAATCTACTTGTTGGTCCCAAATATTCATATCCATAATGGAATACACTTGTGACTTATTTAACTAAACAATCATCACATTCATCATCCCAATAATATCTTAATTACTATTGCCATTAGAAATCTGATGTTGTTTCTATACTATTATCAGCTAATCTCATAACTATATCTCTATTATGAACATCTGTTGTAATTAAAGAGACTATAGTTTTTCTTTAAACAACTGTTAAATCTCCTCTTACTAAAGCTGTCAGTTATTTTAATTGCATTTCCATCATATCATGCCATTCATAAAGAGCATTAGCTTTAACACTAGATTCATTAATGGCATCTTCAGTATTGATTGACCAAAGTATTTAACTAACAACAGCTACAATCTATGATTTATGATTAAGAATCCAATCTGTTTTAGTCTTTTATATACCATTTAAATAATCTTATAAACCTTATTTACACAATTTACGTAAAGTCTCTACCATTTCCAATTCTAATAAATGTAACCAGGTTTCAACATTCCCTCTTGCAGGTATAGATTTATAATATTATACTAATTCACCTTCTGGAGAATAAATTCCCTAAATAACATTAGGTTGATCACCAAAGTATAATTTAACTAATGCTTCAAAACATTATCCTAAATGAGATTATACTGAATTGATATCAGTTTATTTAGATAATATTTCTAATAATTCATCATTAGACAAAAAGTAGAATCTTGGGAATGATCCTCTCTTCACTTCTAAATAATCTTCTAAAGACTTTTCAATTTATTCCAAAGTTTCTAATGTTTTAGTTAAATTGTCTAACATATTTTACATAGCTAATAATCTCATAATTTAAGGTCTTAGATTGACTTATTTAACTAATTTTTTAATTAATCTATCACAACTATCAAATAATTAAGATTCATTTGATAATTATTTTTTAATATCTTAACTACAAAAAATACTTTCCAAATACATCCATTTCTTTTAACATTCAACCCATTTCTCTATAATATCTGATAACAATAATAAATCAGATTAAAATTTCTCAGCTCTCTATCTCAAAGGTCTAACATAACGACTAGCAAGTATATTAGACATATTTGCTAACCCTTCATCAAATAATTGAATTAATTCTTCCACTTCTCCTAAAACCATAACATCTAATTGATCTTTATAAGGTTTCAACTTCAATTCCACTTCATTCCATTATGTCTCTAAGATTTTTAATTGAGTATTAAGTGAATCTTCTTAAGCTGCTTTCACAGCAATTTCAGTGATCATTTCATTATGTTATGCTACATTCAAATCCAATAAAGTATTCAATGTAAATTATTAATCATTTACATCAAATTCTTATCTAACCAATTATTTTATTTCTTGCCAATGTGTTTATTATAAATATTGTGAACGTAATGCTGTAACAACTGGAATAGTATCTTTAAATTCCCATACAATTTTCTTCAAATAGGCAATGACTCTATTTTCTTACAAATTCTTTTCACATCTTTATACAATTCTAACAAATCCTTCAGTTTTCTAAGCTATTTCCTTTGCATTAATAGATGTAAATTATAATTATTACCACTCTTAGGATAATTTTTTAAATTCCTAAATTCCCTACCACATTCCTAATCTCAAATTTAATTATTCTCTTGTATTCTCCAATACTTCATATTAAGCTTATTCTTAACATTATAAAATTTCTTCATATTGAGTATATAATTAAGCACTCTATTCTAATTATTTAGTCTTTGTATCTATTTCAGTTAATTCCTTTATAGCATCTTCCAAATCAGTGTTTAATGTCAAAAACTTCTCCTTATTAACTGCCTCACTAATTTCTAAGCATTCTCCCTTTAATTTATCTATACGTTCTTTCAATGTTTTTTTAAATTTCTCAATATTTTTGGCTGTATTATTGTCTGCTTCTGATAATGCAACATTCAAAGAAGACTCTAAATAATTCAAATCTTATGCTAAATCCTTATCTTCTTTCTTCATTGAAAATAGTTTGCAATCTTAAGCCAATGTCATTATACTAATAGCAGTTTCAATTTCTTCTCTCCTTTAAGGTAATTCCTTAGTTATTCTATCTACAGAATTCTTTTATTCAATAAATTCTTCAATTCTAATAACCATACCTGATAATGATTTAATTGATTATTATAACCATGCCTTCAATACTTAAGATCTATTCCTAAACAATTATAAATAAAGTTCCTCCAATTATACCAATATTTATGATTATCTAGCACTCAATTATTTTTATATATTTGATATTTTAACTCTGTATAATCCAATATCTACTTAAGGTATTAATTTTTATTGTAATATGTTATCTATCAATTATGCACTCTTCAAAGTACATGCAAATATCTTTGATTAATACATTAACCTAGGATTTTATAATTAATTTATTTCACTGTTCTCTTATCTCCATATTAAATTCAAATATTCATTGAATTCCTTTTAAAAAAGTTCCAATTTTTAAAATGCTTAATCCAATTCCTAAGAAATTTCATGCATAAATATATTATTCATAGGATGTTCTTTAATCCAATATGATGGATTTAAATTAATAGAATCAGGTTATGTCCACTTATCTCCAATAATTTCATCCCATTCTTCCAAAGCTTAAACATACTACAAGAAATCAGGATGTTTACTCCATCTCTCAATCACTTATATCTGATCCAATCCATCACAAAATGCCTCTTAAATTTTACTAAAGAAATCTCTCTTTGATGGATGTACTTCTAATTGTGTTTCATAAAGATTTTGAACCTCTCTTTTACATACAAATTCAGGATCTTCTATTAAATCATCCTATGGTTCCATTGATTACTATTAATTTGCATTCTAAGTATTTTATTGTTTCTTTTCTACCTTCTCATTAGTTTGTACTTTCTCTTCTTTTAATCTAATACACTCTTACAAATCAAAATCCAATAAATTATCACTTAAAGTATCCCAAGGTACTTCTTATCTTTCAATATCAAGATGACCATCAATTGGATTAAATCTTAATTCAATAGTGAAAATAGGATCATAATCTTAGAAATCTTTTTTTTCATCTTCATTTTCAGTCAATTTAGGTAATTTTCTGTTATTTTTACTACATTATTAAACTTTAATCAATTTATCTACAAATTCTGTTGCTGATTTAATATAAATCTATCCTAAAGATTAAACAGCAATAAAATCTAATAGATAAGCTAATCTTAAAAATTTAATGAATTCTGTTCTCATTAATGCTCTATGTCCATAATCCATTCTTTCTGGAAATCCAAAAGTTTCAATAATTTATTATTTTTTATCAATTTATCTGGATTGAGACATATTTTTTTCTATTTTTAATGGCACATGATCATCATCTGATTATTTCTCTTAATTAATTTATGTTCTTAATTTATCAATAACAGTTTTAAGTCCTGATAAACAATTTTCTTTCATTTTCCTTGATTAAATTTAAATTTTCTCTACTAATCTATTTCTCTATTTCTATTATAATAAACTAAATTCTTGCAAACTCAAATATTAGTCTTTTTTATCTGTCAATTCTTCTTCTATTTTATCTATATCTACAATTCTAAGTGCTTCTATATCATAACATAAACTTCTATGTGAAACTATTAATTTTTAATAAATTGGATTTAAAATCAACATCTTTTCACATAATTAAGCTTAAACAATAGAAGTTCTATGTTAATGTAATATCTTTTGCCATTTCTTTAATGTCTTCCATTTACGAAACTTTTTAAAAAAACTTAATGATTTTATTGCATTAAATTAATCTCTTTCTTCTAACCATGTATTTAATGAAACAAATTCAATTGTAATATTATTCTCATATCTTGTTAATCCCTTAGCTGAAAGTGTATAAAAATTATTTAGTTAATGTTTTTGAATATATGGATAATTAACTATTCTCATATTGTAAGCATCATTTGAATGTTTCTTCCTTTTTATCAAATACATGAATTCTTATTAACTTAATTTATGCTCCTTAATCATTTGAATAAATGCATCCACATCTTTCAATCCAAAATTACCATTCTCTTCTCCTGAATCTTCTGAACTATCTGAAACTTAAGAGATGGAGGTTTTATTCAAAATCTCTTTCCTCATTTATTATGCTCTAATAGTCTTTCTGGCAGCTGTTCTATTATCCCTCGTCATAGTCATGCGAGTATTATCCAAAATATTACTTGGCAACACTTAAACAATCTTCTAAACTTCTTTTGGTGGACTTGGAGGTTTTACTCTTCCAATCATTCGATCCATTAATTCATGAACCTGACGAGACTTTAATAATCGTCTCTCATCTAAGAATATATCATTTGTTAAATCAAAAGTTTTATTATGCTTTGGGAATGAGTCATTGTCTAAATTGAATCTAATCAATATTACTGTTCTATGATTTCCCACGAGTTTAATTTAGACCTGCTCCTCCTGATTTTTGATATGAGAAACTACGTTCTTCATGAATTGCAGGTAATTTATCAGGAACCTTCTCAATCTTTGTCATTGTCTGATTCATCTATGCTCTGATTGCAATCTTTGCAGTAAGTGGTCTCTCATTATTATTACTTTAAGGTGGTTTCCCTCTATCAAAGAGACGACCGGCAAGTTTTATTTTAGCACTCTCTTGTAACATTGTGAATTAATTTAAAATATGTATTATAATAAATGCTGAGTACTTATAAACAACAAACATCTAAATTTCATTTAGCTTATTATTAATATCAAAAAACTATACAAAAATACTTCAATAATTGAATCCTAAATTTAATTCCTATACCTAATCTATTATATTTAAATTTTATTTCTAGTTTACTATTTAATTTATGATATTTTATTATAATGATATATATTTAAATATTAATAATAACAAGCATATATTAGTTAATTAATAAAAAAAAATAAATAAAAAAAAAAAATTATTTAATTTAATTATAATTATTCATCTGTGAATAGTTTGTGTGAACATTCTCTATTATACTTTAGAAAATAGCAATAAATTTGAATTAAGACTCATTTATATTTAATTGATGAATTTGTATTATAATGATTTTGATTCTTAATTAGAATTATACAAAAAAAACTTAAGTTCAAGTTCATAGTTACTCATTATGAATTATGGGAATATTATTTTCACATTATAAAATGTTTTCTGTTATTAATATTTTAGATTATTTAAGTGGATCTTTTTATAATACAAAATATAAATTAACAAATTAATTTCATATTTAGGATAATGGTTCAACTAATACTTTTTATTAATCTAAAGGTTGAGTCAAAGGAGTATGTTCTTCAAAATGCTTCAGTTTTAAGTGCTATTTTAGAGCTGCTTTTGAAGAATATGTATGGGTGCAATTTGAACATTTAAAAGGTTTTGTAATTGAATTTTTTCTTGAGATTCGTTTATTTTTTACCTAATAAAATTAAATTAAAACAAATATATATAATAACGAGCAAATAGTTAAATAAAAACATATGAGTTCTACAATTACCTCATCATTAGAAAGCTTTTTTTCTAGTTTTGCAATACTCTTTTGAGTATTTTCAACTTAAAATCTTAGGAACTATAAGAGTAGATGTGATTTTCTAACTTCAAGTTTATAGTTAATTTTTTAATCATATTCTGGCTCTGAAACTAAGTCGATTATTTATTTGTACTTTCATTTTCTTGAATCGTTCTTGGAGTAGAGTGATCAATTGATTCTATAAACATCGATTTTTTTAATAAATTTAAACAATTATTTATTAATATTTTTTTTTTATTAAAAATCATTTAGTTAATTAATTTGAATATGTATAATTATGTATATTTTATAATTCTTTCAATATTATAAATTATCATTTTGATTCACATTAATTATATCAGTAGCATTCTTATCCTCAATTATTTATATTGAATTTGATTCCTTATTATCTATTAAATATTCATTTTATGAACTACAAATCTTTTTCTTTTTTAATTCTGTAATATCTAAAGAATCAGATTCNAAAAAAAAAAAATTATTTAATTTAATTATAATTATTCATCTGTGAATAGTTTGTGTGAACATTCTCTATTATACTTTAGAAAATAGCAATAAATTTGAATTAAGACTCATTTATATTTAATTGATGAATTTGTATTATAATGATTTTGATTCTTAATTAGAATTATACAAAAAAAACTTAAGTTCAAGTTCATAGTTACTCATTATGAATTATGGGAATATTATTTTCACATTATAAAATGTTTTCTGTTATTAATATTTTAGATTATTTAAGTGGATCTTTTTATAATACAAAATATAAATTAACAAATTAATTTCATATTTAGGATAATGGTTCAACTAATACTTTTTATTAATCTAAAGGTTGAGTCAAAGGAGTATGTTCTTCAAAATGCTTCAGTTTTAAGTGCTATTTTAGAGCTGCTTTTGAAGAATATGTATGGGTGCAATTTGAACATTTAAAAGGTTTTGTAATTGAATTTTTTCTTGAGATTCGTTTATTTTTTACCTAATAAAATTAAATTAAAACAAATATATATAATAACGAGCAAATAGTTAAATAAAAACATATGAGTTCTACAATTACCTCATCATTAGAAAGCTTTTTTTCTAGTTTTGCAATACTCTTTTGAGTATTTTCAACTTAAAATCTTAGGAACTATAAGAGTAGATGTGATTTTCTAACTTCAAGTTTATAGTTAATTTTTTAATCATATTCTGGCTCTGAAACTAAGTCGATTATTTATTTGTACTTTCATTTTCTTGAATCGTTCTTGGAGTAGAGTGATCAATTGATTCTATAAACATCGATTTTTTTAATAAATTTAAACAATTATTTATTAATATTTTTTTTTTATTAAAAATCATTTAGTTAATTAATTTGAATATGTATAATTATGTATATTTTATAATTCTTTCAATATTATAAATTATCATTTTGATTCACATTAATTATATCAGTAGCATTCTTATCCTCAATTATTTATATTGAATTTGATTCCTTATTATCTATTAAATATTCATTTTATGAACTACAAATCTTTTTCTTTTTTAATTCTGTAATATCTAAAGAATCAGATTCTAAATTTTGTGATTCTGTATTGTTACCATTATTATATACAGATTATATAGGAACTACTTTAGAATTCATATCTGAAAAGGATAATAAAGTTTTGATAGGAAAACTTAATCTAAGTTTAGCATTTAAAATTTATTCAATTTCATTATTGTTTTATTTATTATTATTAAGTTCAATCTCTATAGGATCATGTTTAACATAAGATACATACTAATAGCATTAAGATAAATTAAATACTTAAAAATTTTCTTTAGTGTTTATTGATATTTACTCAAGATCATTACTTTTAGGATTAACACCGAAATAGTAATTTTGCTCTATATTTTTAAGCTATTGCAAAATATTCTATTTATAGTAATTCCAATTAGTTGATTCATAGATATGTTCTTCTAATTCATAGGAAAGTTAAGATAAGATTCCAAAATATCCTCTATTTATTGGATATTTAATTTAACCAATAATTGATTTGGTTTATGTGTTATGAGTGGAAATGAATTCAAATAAATCATTTTTTATGAGTTCTTAAATCCAACTTAATGATTTAGTTTTGAAAATAAATGTAGTGATTTAATTGAATTAAATTTAAAGTTAATTATTAAATTCAAATTTAATAATGTATTTGTATAAATCCTTATAGATTTATATATGATGAATTAAATTTAATAATTTAGAATCTTCAGTTTTTAAGAGTAAATGATATATAGTCAATAGACTTAATTTAAATTAACCAAGAGTTGTTTAGATTACATTCAAAGTTGAATTAAATGCTTAGATATATATTTACTAATTTACCAAAATTCAAATATTCATAAGAAAATGATCTATGTATATTAAGAGCTATATAATTATACTTTGAATAATCATTTTCTTGTTCTGATTATCTTTATTATAAGAGTGCTATTATAATATTCAAAAATTCAACAAAACCAGTATCACACTAATAATAAGATCAATGATTACTGCTGATATATAAAATTGTTCTGGATTTTCAATTTATTACATAAATTATTATTATGTTGTATTACAAATTTAGATTAACAATTCACAAGAATTATGTACAATTTCATAGTTATGAATTTTATTTAACAATATTTTATGAACTCTTTGAAGTAAATAAATTCTTTAGGTTATATGATGATTAAATGTTTATTCACACATGATTAGATGGAAGAGTATTGATGTCACATGATACACATCTAGATGTTTAATCAAATGATCCAAAATGGATTTATTATTATCAAACCAACTCCATAACTAGATTGAATTCACTAATTTATACGCTATTACCCCTCTTCCTTATAATGGATTCAATTATTTTGGTCAGATATCCTACTTAAGTATAATTAAGATAGTCTGTTTGAAATGGTTGAAATAAAAGAGGGAGGAGTTATTAACGTTATTGTTCTTGAAGTTCATAATTTGGAATGTTTGGTTCTGGTTCAAATAAATAATCAATTAAAATTGAAATATCGTAACTCAAAATTTCACTTATGAGAAATTAGTACCTATTTTGAGATAGAGTTTAGACAATACCTTTTCAATTTAGAATTGTTTTAATCTAATTAAAGTAGATATTCAATCATTTTTTAGTAATTATTTACATCTTTGATAATGCTAATTTTATAGATATAGTTCAATACAATAATGCAAACTTTTGAGCACCATTAAGTTTTATTTCTTCTAATACTTCTGCATCTAGAATTTCTTATAAAGTAATATTTGACTTTGAAAGGAGATCATCTAGGTTATTACGAGTAAAACTACTATGTCCATATTATTTAAACACTACTTAATAAACATGGAAATCATTAATATTATATAATTTTAATGAAGGAAAATTAGAAATCTGACATAGCTCCTTAGGATAAACAATGGGAATGGATACCATGTTAATATGATGTGAAACGTATATCTAAGGATACAGAAACAACTTGGAACTTAAGTCCATCTGTACAACTTAAAATACCGTCAGATTAGGGATAGATTGATCCTGTGATTGATCTCAAAATAGAACAAAGTAGAAATTTCATTTACACAAACAAAAATGGTTTGGGTTGGAATTGGCATAAGAGTTGGAATCTACCAGATATTGGTGTTGAATTGGAGGTACAAAACATTATGTTTTAAACATCCTTAGATAACAGATCCCACCACTGATGAGAAGCTTGCTCCACCAGGCAAGATCTATGTATTTAGCTTCTTTTAATTTAGGCTAAAATTCAAATTGTAAAACCAACAGTAAGTCCAATGAAAACTTTTCATTTATTAGAAGTAGGTGTTAAAGGCAATTAAAAAATGGATTTAGAAAATAATAAATGCATTTTCTCTGGTCTTAAATTTAACACTACATCTTATAATCATGATGTATCTTATTTATATATATATAATTAGCATTAAAAATTCCATATTATAATAACACTTTATCTTTGTTAAAGTAAGTTTGAATTCCCATAAATATTAATATCACGTATATCTCCTCCTATATTTGTTGATTCAAGAAAATCAGCAAGAGATATTGAATAATAAAATAAATAGAAATTATAATCTTATTTTGATCCATTTCCAATTACAACTCTTGAAAAGTAATTTACCACAACTAAACCATAAAATACTGAAGTTATAACTAATACTATAGAAGGATTGAATAATTATTTTTCAGCTCCAAATATTAGACATAAAGTTAAACATCCTGTATTTCTATGCATCAAATTTAGTTCATGTATTAAATTATATCTTAATACAAATGTATTTAAATTCTAAGATTCTAAATCTTTAGTATTAACAATATAATAAGTATTATACAAAAGCACTAATAATAATGTCAATAATAAACTAGATTAAAAATATATTATATTATGTGTTGATAGCAGTAATACTATTAGTAAATTTTAATAACATCTAAAAAAATTATAAGAATTCCTTGAACCATTCAATAATGATGATATTGAAGTTGTAATTGATCCTATTGAATTACCTAAAAATTTTACATAAATTACAGATTTAGCAGATATTAAATAAGCATACATAGATGTTTATGACAAACTTTTATAATTGAAAAAGAATGAACAATAACATGATGATAATTAAGAATATGAAGAATAACCAAGAAAGAAAAAGAAACCCAAAGAACAAGAAGTAGTTTAAAATAACTAAGAAAAAATCATTAGAAAAGTTATTTAAATATAAGGTCCCAATATTTCATAACAAAGATCACATCATACACATGTTATTTAAAGTGCTGAAATGCTTATAGAATAATAACATTAATATCTTGATAAAGAACATGTAAAGGAAGAACATATAATTTAAGAAGAAAAACCACATTAGTTTGGTTTACCTGATCTCATTTAATAAACAGCTATCAATCTAAATAAAATTTTATTAAGAGCCTTATTACCTCAACAATAACAGCCATAATGAACATCATCATATTTCTAAATTAAATATTCAAAATTATATTATTATTTCCTCTATATATTATTCTTATTATTCTTATTCTATTTTCACTATTCTCTCTTTTTTTTGAGATTCTAAAATTATGACGTATAAATTTTTAGTTAATACCTTTTTTTAATTGGTATGTATATTTTCAATTATTAAATAATTATGATTAAATCAAGAAGGTTTGATTTGCTTATGGTGTGGTTGAATGCTAAGGATATGGACCCACCTTAAAAGCAAAATGAAACATCCATACACATATGATTATATATATTATCTATATATATATATATATTACTATATATTTCAATTTTGAGTTTTCGATTAATAATATTTTTTCACTTTATCATATGAATGTAAAAAGATAATGGAATCCTTGAAAATATATATATATATATAGAGATCAAGAGATATTGGAATAATTCTAAAAGAAATATACAAATATTGATTTGTAATTTTATATAATAAAGAAAGCTTATAAGTATCCATTGATATTTAGTATAGAATTCTATAATGCATTTTGGTATAACAATAGAGGATATTATTATTGATTAGTATGATAACTATTAAATATTGATATTGTTTTAATTAATTTATTTTGGATGTCTTAAATCTTGAAGAAGGCAGCTAAATACAGAACTGTGTCTACAATACTCTAACATGGGGAAGCTCATTTACGTGATCCATATACATTACCACCTGAAATCATTACTCCACCTCCACGTAATTAATGTTAGCATTAATAAATTTAGCCAGAAAAGAAAGAAAGCCTGATGATATTACTGATTTCCCAGAGTAAAAATTCGTACTTCTACCTGAATCAATCCCATATCCTGAAGGAAAGTACCGTCCTGCATCAGTACCTTATGTTTCTGGTTTCTATCCTTATAATTGTTATCTATAGAAGGGAAAGGTAATTTGAATTAGGTAAATTAAGATTTATTAATGGTGTTCATGCGGTATTTCATAATCAAATCCTTGGTGTGATGGAATGTGTAATGCCTCAGCAACTAGAAATAGACCAATTAAATTTAATGTTGATACTTCTGGATATTATAAATTATGTAATTGCAAATAGAGTGCAAATGCTCCCTTCTGTAATGGTACACATAGGTAAAGAGTTTTTGAATTTCAAGATAAGTGATTCGTTAATATCATGCTGGTTTTAGAGGATTCTATGAACTTTGGGGATGGGCTGCCTTTATGGGAACAACAGGATTCATTATTTGGAATTTCCACAATTGAAAACAAATTATCAATAGAATAACAATATAAAATTAAAATTTCATTAACTCTGATCACTTGAATCACTCTTTCTCTTACCTTTTTCACTTAATTTCTTAACAAATTAAACAGATTGCATAACCACCTATTTAATAATAATATAATATATATACTTCAGTTTCATCTGCAAATCCTTTAACTTCAGATTTATTAGCTTTTTCAAAATTTCCCATTTCACAATAATCCATTTCTTTATATGCAAACATTTCATCCATGCTCATCCTCTTTCTTAATTATCTATATTGATAAAACACACTTCCAATAGTCAAAACCATTATGGATGAGAAATATAAGTAAAATCTAAAATTAATCTCTTTTTCAAATCCATAAAATGCTCTCTTTACTAAATAAATTTCATTAGGATATCCACTTGCAAACCATCCAATAGGTTTGATAAATAAATAACTCTATTTTAATGATTTTATAATACTCCTGCTAAAGCTGTGGCTCCAATTCCAAAAGTATTTAAAAATTTACAAGCTAAGAATCCAAATAGTAATCCTGAAATTGAAAATGTTAATGTTAGAGTTAAAAACATAGGATGACTATTGAATAAATGCAAGAATAATGGTTGCATCAAGAGAGAAAGTACAACTCCAAATATCAAACCCATATTGAATACTCCCTAATAAAAATAGAATCTATAATTACAAGTAAATATCTAACATAAGTTGTGTTTGCATAAATAATACCAACTCCAATTCCAGAACAAAATATTATTATTATTGCAAAATTGCTTGAATCTTAATCTAATACTGCTTCTCCCAATACAATAGTATAAATTGCTGTTCCAATCATAAATGCCAATAAGACTGTAGTAAATCTCAAAAATTAGAATCCGAAAATCATTAAAGCAATTCCTAAAAGTATAAAAATTACACCTAGAGGAATGTATAAGTATTGATAAAACTTCATAATTGGATTAGTGACTAGAATTGGACAAACGCTATTGTGTTTTATACAATAATCTTATTCACAAGGAGTTTAAATTTCAAATGTATCTGAATTACTACATATTAATAAGAGTTCCATATTCTCATCATCTTCAACCCCTTAAAGTTTTAATACTACACCTGCAAAAGGATTATTCTCATTTATAAGCATGAGATCATTTTTAGCATAATCATGTTATTTTGAATAAAAATCACATTCATCATTCTCAGCTATTATAATATTTTATGTTGATTTTTCATTTCTTACAATAATTTACTTCTCATCTTGAGTGACACATTAGTAAGATGTAGATCCACAAATATTTATATACATCACTTTTTTATCTGGTAATTAGATATTTGATGCAATAGTGTCTGTGAAATCAAATGAAATATCATTATTGTAATAGATTTCACAAGCATAATAGTGCTGTATCAATAATATAAATATTACAAATTTCATTTTATTAATATATTATTCATTAATTTATCAATTATTTTTGAAATCCTTTGTAATGCTATTTCAGGTTCATTATCCACTAAATGTTTAAAATGAAGTATATGTTCATTTAAATAACTAAATGTAAATACATCATTAATTTATTGGCAACTCTTCCAATTTATAGAAGTAACTTAAACTTCATTATATAATAATGATATTATGTATATATTTGGTTTCTTAAATGTTTTTATCTATAATCTAATTGGTTTCTATATTTTATTTGATTATTTTTATGTTTTCAATTAATTTAAATTGGGAATTGTATGATATTGACTTAAATTTAAGAAATTTTAAGTTTTAATTTTATGTATCATATAATAACAAATACTTATAATATCTGAATGATTAAGTTTAGAATTCATATAATTAGTTTAATATTTATAAAAACCATCAGCAATATATAAATTAAGTAATTCTCTTAAATTAATTTATTCTTTAACTTCAGTAAATTTATTATAAGAGAAATATTTTAATTCAATATTAAAATTTGATGTATTAGCATAACTTATAGCATCAAAAGGAAAGAATATACAAGTACGTTTTAAGAATTTAATTTATTCTTCATTTAATTTAGCTTCACTTATTATACTAGGGAATTTACTATTATGTAAATGTAATTGATTTATTTTCCCTTTTAAAAGAGCAATACCCTTTAATTAATCTGTTTTTTATGAATATTTCATGTAGAATTCAATATGTGATTCACCTACTCTTTCAATTCTAATATAACGTTAAAATAAAAGTTCTTATAGATTTATTTCTTTCTAATCAAATAGAAGAGACAAAAAGCAATTTTATTATTTGGGATGCTATTCTAATGAAAAATTATTATTTATTATATTAACCCAAATTAATTTCTCCTTAATTATATATTATTCCTTATTACCATTTTCTAAATGATATTCTGTAAATTCAGTCACCAATCTAGTGATATAGAAGAAATCACTTAAATAATAAGGAATAACTTAAGATTATGCCATTTAATTTTATGCTTAGATACTGGATACAGCTGGAGAATGAAATTATGATATTCTAGGTTAACTCAATCGATGATTTGACTTTTACATCATCACACTCTATCTAGGTGTAATATCTGTAAATGAATCTAAATCTTTAAAACTTAAGATTGCTTATTTCTTATATATTATGATACTATCCATTAAATCTTTTCCATCATTCTCTTTAAAATCTTCAGATCTTAACAAACCTACCATTTATCTAGTTGTTTTTGGTACGTATACTTTAACTATCCATATATCCAATAATAAATGTCTATAAATTTATATTAAAACATAATCAGTTATTTATTGTTAATCATTTAATAATTAAGTTACTTTATTATTTGATATTTTAATCAATTATCCAGTTGATATTGAATGTATTAAGTAAGACTTTTTAATATGAGTAACAATTAATCTACTATTTTTTATATACTATTCTAAAAAACCTTTACATAAATCAGATTTCTTAAAAGTTGTGTTTTCAGGGAAATTACCAATTCTTCTTATTTATTAAACATTAATTTTAGTAGAATGATCTTCATATGAATTATGTGTAATTTAACTTTCATTTTATTTTAAATCATCTTATTAAACAGCAAAAAAAGGAACATTACTTAATGTAAATGTTCCTAAATGACATTTCTGAAATATATTCATAGCAGTTTATACAATATTTGCATCTGTCATATTTTATGGTATATCTATTTTTAACATTTCTGTTATATCATATTTATTAAATATCATTTTCATCATTCCAGTTTTTAACATAATATTTTAAAAATCTATTCTCATTAAAAAATAATCATTTTCCATTAAAATATCTGGTTTTTGACATCTAAAAAATACTTTAATTGTTATTTAGTATTTTCCATAATTTTTAATCTTCTAAACTATCACAAATTATTTCAAAGTAAAATATTTTAATAACACCATATAATTGTTTAAGATATAATAATGTAATACATTATATGAAGGTATCTCTGCTAATTAACTTTTAGATTTCTTATACTTCAATAATTCTAAACCATCTTACAATTAAGAGCTACTAAAAGATTATTTTAAACCTCTTTGACTTATTTTTTTATAAAGCATTTAAATTACCCAACAAATAGGACCATTTTAAATTAGTTAAACTATATTCGATAATAAATTATCTTCTTCATCTGAAGGATTAATACAGAACCTTTGTAATCTTTAATTACAATGATAAATTAATATTATTTATTTTTTAATTAGGGATATTTAAATGGAAAGATGTTTCAATTTTATTCTATATTTTTAAATTTTGTTAAGCTATAAATTTTACCTACTAAAAAATTAAGATTTCAATTTTTCCAAATCATCTATATGTATATCTGTAAATGGATTTTCTTAGTAAATAATAATGGGACCAACTTTTTTTGTTATGATTTCATTTTTTGCTTCTGCATTAATATTTGGTTAATATCGTTTTACTAAGTCGATCAAAGTAGTTTAATGAAAATGATGTTATTCATTATTTGATATATCTTCACCAAATATTTAAGCAAAATGTTTATCAAACATATGCTCTCTATTATGGATAGTTTATGATTTAGATTGATAATCTAACTTTTTTTAGATATCATCATATATATATCTTTCTATTTCAGTAATTGCAAAAGGTTTTACCTTAGTTTACAAATCAATTAGAAAACCTAATTTCATTCCACAAGCTTCCATTTTTTAAGCATCATGCAAAGAAAATATATTCATTTTAACTTAAAGTTACTTCTATTCATTAATCATTAATTTTTAATCTATAAATTCATAAAAGATATGCCAACATTTCCTTTAAGAGAAAAATATTTAATTTATTATCTATTTTAAATTATTATGATATCTCTTTTCTAATATCTTTTCTATTGCATCAAATTGCAATCTTAATGGTTTAATCTTTATTGGACTATTGATTGCCTCAAATAATACATCTACTTAATATTTTGTATGGTAATCATTTTTTTTATAATACAAAATACTAAAATCATTATAATTTACTATTACTTCTCTTTCTAAAATATAATACTGACTTTAATTATAAAAAATATATTTTCTTCATCATTGTTTAAACTTAAATTCTTAAGATTTACTAACTACTTATGAATCATATATTATTAGTCCTTTTATTTATTTATTTTAAAATTCAATATTCTATTTAAAAGAATAATATTATTTTTTATACACTCTATTATATTTAATAAAATTAAATGATACCTCCATAACTGCAAATTAATAAATTGAATTTCTCTTTTTCATCACAAATTGTAGATTAGATTATCATTCTTCTATAAAGGTTAACTACATTGATCAATTCTCTATATGCATTAAGAGTTTTATCTTTTTCAACTGTATATAATTTCAATCTAATTCCAGTTATATTAATTTATTCATATAAATAAGTTGTATACATCCATCTAAACAAATCCTTTAAAATACCCATTTATTCTATTTCATTTTTGGCTACTTCAAATTAATATTTTGGAAACATTATAAAATTTTAATTATCACTCTTCCTATTACTCATTATTGTATTATAGCGTAAATATGGTAAGCATTAAGAAGCTTATGATTAATACTCTTTAATAAAGACTTCAATTATTTAAGCCCAATTTTTAATACTATCAATCTATAAATTTGATAATTGAGCCCTATATACAATTTTGTTATTTGTTGTATCTTAGAATGCAATAAGTATGTTGTCTGATGATGTTATTTATAAACCACATGACCATAAAATAGTTCTACTATGATAACATAATGAAAATTAAAATTTTGGGATATATGTATTGGATTATTCCATAAAAAAAGTTGTAGCAGTTCTTAAAGTCAAAATGTTTCTTCTTTAAGGTCTTTTAGGATTAAGTTATGGAGTTTGTTATTGATTTTATTGAAGTTATTATTATACTGATTATGGTATTGTAATTATTATTTATGATTTTGTTGGAATACTCTCTATATAACTAGATTTTTAAATAGCTTAACTAATTTAAGAAGCTGCATCAGGTGAACTTACTACCATTCCACTCCTTCTTCTCTCTGAAGTCAATGGATCAGGTTCTTTTTAAGAAGGTATTTGTTGTATCATAGGAATAGAGAGTTATTATGGTTATAATTGAAATTCTTTGTGTTCTTTTTTTATTGATATTGTTTTTTATCTTCTTATAGATTTACCAAGATCAGCATTTTTAGGAGTTGAAGATGCACTAAGTTAAGCTATATCTAAGATTTATTGGAATCTAGAACTAATTAAGTTCTTTAATTTATAGGGATTACTAAGATTGTTTAATTTATCAATTTTTCCTTGAGATGATTAAGAATGTGTTATACTGTGATCTTTACCAGAAATTTTATGATCTGATTCTGTAGCTGGTTTAACAGGTGATGGTAATTCAAGAATTGAATCTTAATGATCTTATTCAAAGTCTTAGAAAGTAAGTAATGGTAATTCTTCTTAAGCAGAAGGCTAAGTTTTGTATCTTTCTATGATATTAAATAAAGTATACAAGTACAAGTAGATAGTGTAACTGGTTTTTAGATTTTAAAACATCCTTTTCTAACAATCTTATTAATATGATAATTTTCAATTTGAATTTAGAAAATAGGATCTTCTTCAATATGTTGATATTGTGAATTAAGAAGTTTAGATGCAGAAGTCTTAATTATTTTTTTACTTGTAGCAGATGTTTGAGTTTATTCTGTTTTAACAATCTTACCTAAATCTAAATATCTTTTAATAGATTTTGTAGATTCCTTAGGAATTTCTTCAGGCATTAAATTATTAATTTAAAGAATAGGTTTTCTAATTTTACTCTTTAATTTTATATCTTCATTTATTTATGAATTTGAATTGATTGATAATTTTTATTATTATAACATTTTCAATGTTTTAATTATATCACTTTAAAATTAGTAATCATTGAAATAGAATTGAGACTATTATAACAATTACATTAAAATGAGAGCATTAGTTTCATTGTTACTAACTTTGATAATTTTATTCCAATATGAGGAAAACAATTCAATATCCATTTTGAATAATAAATGATTATAATTAGCTCCATTTTTAAGTGATTTCTCTATTAATTTAGATATTTATTCAAAGACTCTTTCTACATTACCAATTTATTTGCTTATTTTCACATAGCCTATATAACCAATTATAATTCGAATTAGAAAATGTAATTAATTAGTCTTCCAAATTAACATGTTGATTAATTTACGAAATTCCATTTTCAGATTCTAATCATATTTAAGTAATTTCTGTTTTAATATTAAATATTGATTTAACATTGAACATGTTTAAAATTCAATTAAACCTTCATAAAATATATGGTATTGAATTAGAAAATCTTCATATGCTTATTAAATGTATTTATGAATAGGTTTGCCATAAGTCAATTAAGATGCCATAAAATAAGCCAATAATTTATGTTTCAATTTATCCCAATCTTTGCAGCCTTCAATTTTCTTGATTTTCTGAATCTCACTAGCACTATCACTATTCACCAACTACATAAGTAATCATGTGGGCAATACCTAATCAATAAGAGTTTAATTTATCAACCTAATTCCTAAATACTCTTAAACAACACTGTTGTTTATTTGAAATAGAGATTATAGTTTTTAAATGTCTTTAATGGACATTATATTAATTTTCAATAAAATTTTATTTTGTTTTAAATGAGTTATCTCTATTCACCTTACAAATCCTATGTTAGACCATAATAGTATTCACCAACCCGTTCATATGTTTCTCCATATTATACATCCACTCCACCAAGAGGTACACTTGCTTATTTAAGAAATAAGGTAATTCTTGGGTAGAAAGAATCCCTGTTGAATAGAGATATACAGAGTATGTTCCAGAATAAAGAATTGAATATAAACCAGTAGAAAGAAGATATACAGACTATGTAGAAAGTAAGAAATTATTGATATTATTAAGTCGAACATTACAGAGATTATGTACCAGTTCCAAGACTTGAAAGAAGAGTGGAATATGTGCCTATTGAGAGATATGATGAAGCAGTTGACTATGTTCCAGTTGAGAGATCTAGTGTTGTTCGTTAACCATTAGCAAATTCATTAGCCTACAGTAGATATTCAAGATATCCATCCAGATATTATTATTATTGATTATTATATTCAAATTAATTAAACATTCATTGTGGAAATAAGGAGATTGAAACAAAATGATTTTTCTAATAAATTTATAATGATGTATAAATAATAAAGAGTTCTTAATTATTTAATTTCATTCTTTTTTTAATGTTTATGGTTATCTCATAATTAATAAGTTTAATTCAATATAGATTGAGATTTTGTTTCTTTATAAATTACTTAAAAACCTAAATGATAACCTTAAAATTAATAATTAAATGAAAAAAAATAATTAATCTACAATTACAGATATTCATTTTGAAAAGCTCTAACGTCCAGATTTATTGTATACTAGAAATTAATAAACTACTCAATAATGCATGTAATTATTATAGAAAGATCCAACTTTACGATTAGAATAAGAAAATGAGAAACTTGGTTAATTGTTGAGAGGACATGAATTCTTTAGAACAAGTGATAACGAATTTCTAATAGAGTGTTGTTAAGTTAGACTATTTATATTATGTTAGTTAATGAAATTTGAATAGTTCCAAAAAAATTAGGTGATATTCTCAAAAAATTAATTGGATTAAAATAAACTGATAATCATTTTATCAGGAGATGTAGTTTTGAATAAAGGAAATCAAGAAATGATTCATCTCAAACATTTTGGATCAAATCTACTTCTTTTTGGAAGTGAATGCTATTCTGACATGTATACATTCATGATTTTAGATCAGATTGGAATGTTACATCTAAAACTGCCTGTAAAGTTGCAGCAATTTCAAAACATGATTTTAGAGTGAACCTTATGAATTTTGAAGTTAGTCGAATTACTAAAGAAATGTCTTAATTGTATGCTTTTCCAATCTTCAAGAATGTTCCTTATGCCTAAGTACGTAAATTCTATGCTAATTCTATGTCATAAACCTTTTAATGTTTAGATATAGTATATTTATAAGAGTAAATGATCAAATAAATTTATTTGGTTATTAAAGGTATTTTTGAATTAAGAGAACTTGAAAAAGGAGTTGCAAAAGCAGTTCATATATTCACTTAAGGATAATTGATTGGAGAAAATGAATTGAATAATAAAACATCATTAAGTAATGGTACAGCCTTTTGTATTAGTGAGGAAGGTTAATTACTAATTTTTGATTATGATTATTTCAAAGATAAAGTATTACCTTAAATTGAAGAGAATTTACCAAACAAATGTAAGACTCAAGTATCAAGAAATGAGATTAAATTCAATAATAAAGTATCACTAACTGGTGAAATTATGAGCAAGAAAACACTTTCAAGACATTATAATTTTAAGAAAAGTAATGAAGATGTTGATGAATAATAGAAATAAACAATTGTATAAAAAAATAAAATAAGATCAACTCATTCAATTAATTCAATTCATCAATCTCAATCAAATAATTCAGAAGAAGAAATTAATGAATCATAAATTAATAATCTCAATAGTATTGTTAACCCATCTTAAGTTAAATAATCTATAGTATTTAATCGTTTAAGAATGAGTTAAAGAAACACTTAAAAATCAACTCATTTGTAGAATGAATAGATTAGATCCTAAATTATAAACAGTCCTGTTCGTAATATTGTAAATAGATAAAGTTCATTTTAATTAAGTCTATAGAAAATGAAAGAGGAAGCTGCTCTAAAGAAATCATAATAACAAATGAATTTGAGAATGCCTTTAAAAAATGAATTACTTAATAAATTTTTGAATCGTAAAGAAGAATATGGAGACATAGCAGCTAAAAATAGAATGAGAAGAACTCTCTCATAAACTACGAATGTGAAAAAAACTGTATAAATAAACAAATGAGATATAAATTAATTTATATTTATAAAAAAATGGTCTCGGAGGGGATCGAACCCTCGACCGTCAGCTTATTAGACTGACGCTCTAACCAACTGAGCTACGAGACCTGTGTTGAGATTATTGTATATATTTTTAATAAATATATGTAGGTAAAAATAAAATTCTTTAATTTTAGAATTAGTATGCTATTTCCAATATAGCAAGTATGAAGAGATAATTAGAATCATAAAATTTATATTCATAATGAAAAATAAGATAAATTTACATTAAAAAAATGAATTATAATGCTTAAATTTATAATTACTTACATCTTATGAGAAATCTATTAATAATAATAAACGCATCGATATCAACTATAATAAATGATTTTAATATTTATCATAAAAATTGAATAGGAATAAAGATACAAACAATTTTGGATTATACAAAATCTTTTGGAAACAAAAAATAATATTTATCAACAATCTATTAAATAAATGCAACAAGATTATGGATGGCATCCTGTTTTAATATATCATATAAAAAGATAATTATTTCAACTACATAATTACATGCCTAATCATATCTAATGACAGCAATATTTTTATTTATGAGAAATATAAAAAATTTTTCTATTTGCAATGTTTTTAAACTTATTTTAGAGATTTATGCTATTTTAATTCATTCTAAATTTAAGGTATATTTAGACTGAGCTTGATTATTATAATGAATATAAATTTAAATAATAATAAAATTATCTTTAATACTAAGATTTTATTTTAATTGACAAATATAATTAAATTATAATAAAAAAGAATATGATCAATTAATCCATATTAGATTTTGAAAAAAAGCACAATTTTTTAATATTACTGTTTAATCTTTAAGTATTTTTAAGACAAAAAACAAATATCTGACTATATATTTTTGAAATATAATAAGATAAAAATTATTGAATGATTTTAAAAGATATTGCTATATCTTTTGTGTTATGAGTAGATTGGAGGAATAGAATTTTTAAAATTTATGGAACTAGTGTAATATAAGAGAATATAAATAATATTTTAGAAAATGATGTAATAAATTCTTTTTAAATGATTTAATTTAGTTAATTTAATTATTAATGTTTGCTACAATCGATCCATTAACAGGAGGTTTGATTTGGGAAGTAGAAGGATAAAAAGATAAAGAATAGAAGGAGAAGAATAAGGTGAAATATGTTGAAATAAAGGATGTTAATATCTAATTCAATCCTAGACCTAGTAGGTATTAATGATTATTAATTATTATAAGATTATCATTGGAAGAGAAGCTTAAATTATTAGAGCCAATAGGAGAAGAATTGATTAACAAAGATGAATTAATAAATCTATTAAAAACAAAAACCTTTCCTATTTGCTATGATGGATTTGAACCTAGTGGAAGAATGCACATTGCATAAGGATTACTTAGAGCTTTAAATGTGAATAGATTAGTTGATGCAGGATGTATATTCATCTTTTGGGTTGCTGATTGGTTTGCTTTACTTAATAATAAAATGGGAGGAGATTTAAATAAAATAAAGAATGTTGGTAGATATTTCATTGAAGTTTGGAAAGCTGCAGGAATGAAAATGCATAACGTGTATAATTAAATAATAATATAAATATAGTAAATTCTTATGGGCTTCAGATGAAATCAATAAAAGACCTAATGATTATTGGTTAAGAGTATTAGATTTAGCTCGTAAATTTAATGTTTCAAGAATAAAAAGATGTGGATAAATTATGGGTAGAAATGATGATGAATAAGATGATAAGATGGCTGTTGCTTAATTATTTTATCCATGTATGCAATGTAATGACATCTTCTTTTTAGAGGCTGATATTTGTTAATTAGGTATGGATTAGAGGTAATAATTCTATTTATTTAAATTTAGAAAAGTTAATATGTTAGCAAGAGAATATGCTGATAAAGCATCAGATGCATATAAACCAATTATTATGTCTCATCATATGATGATGGGTTTACTTGAAGGTTAAGTTAAGATGTCTAAATCTGATTTAAACTCAGCTATCTTTATGGAAGACTCAGCAGAAGATGTTAAGAAAAAAATAAAGAATGCTTATTGTCCACCTTAAGTTATTAAAGATAATCCTGTATTGGATTATACAAAGGAAATAATTTTTGGATGGAGAAATAAACTCTTAATTTAAAGAAAACCTGAAAATGGTGGAGATAAAGAGTATACATCTTATGCTGAATTGGAAGCAGACTTTATTTCAGGAGCTCTTCATCCAGGTGATTTGAAACCAGCAGTCACCTTAGTTCTCAATGAATTAATCTAGCCTGTTAGAGATCATTTTACTAAAGACCCTGAAGCAAGAGCATTATTATAAGAAATTAGATCATATCAAGTCACAAAATGAATTTTAAGTATTAAATATAAAGGGAATTGGATAATCATCATTTTTTAGCCATCATCATTACACTCTTATAAGTACTCTAACTACTACATCCTTTAGTTTTAAATTATCCATCAAATGCTAAAATATCCATTTGTTCTCTCTACTCTAAATCTTTTTTCATATTTTGATATTTTTATAACAACCTTTATAATAATAATAATATTATATTAATTACCTTTCTAAATCGATACTTCTATTTTTTCTTAATTCATCTTGTCCTGCCTTTATTCTTTATTATAATGCATTTAATTCATTTAAATGTCTCTATTCAAATTGTTGCAACTATGTTTTTATCTTCAAAATTCTCTATGTCGAATATAATTTAAGCTCCTCTTCTTCTAATTAAGCACGTTTATTTTAAATTGTATGTGCTTCTACATAACTATAAATAAAAAACAATTTGTACTTCTTTTATTTAGCTAAATGCTCTTCAATTTTCTTTAGATTCAATATTTCAGAAGATTCTTTTGGTTTATAAGGAGTAGTTCTTTCTAATTCTTCTTATAATTATTTGTATTCATTTTATTAACGATTTTATAATTCAATTTCTACTTACTTTGCTTCTTCATTGAAATTCACCATCTTGTTATCCCAAAATTAATTGAATTAATTATATTCTTCCATATGAGCCTTTTCAGCCTAATCTTTTTAATTTTACCAATTTATTATTAATTCTTTCTTTTTTTTTGTTATAAGTTATTTTCTCAACTCATTAATTCTTTTCCTTGCATCTTCTGCCTCCATGTATTTCCCTTGCTTTTCACAAGCATTTTAATGTTATATTAATGTATTTATATAATCATCAACATCTTAAGCAGTTTAAAGATTTGGTTCATTCTTCATAGGGTCTAAAAAGGCAACGTTAGCCATATTTAATATAATTTTATATAAATAATAGGTTTATATAATTTAAACATAATTCCTAATTTTATAATAGTATTCATAAATTAGTATTATATGAATACTATTTATTAACATAACTAATTTCATTATGCAAATGATCAATATTGAAAATTATTATTATATTATTTAATCAAACTTTTAATTTTAGATTGTAACGATAATATTTTATGAATTCTTTAATTTAATAACATCGATCAGCATCAAGTAGACATCGAAGCTTTTTGAATATTACAGCATCCCAACAATTAAGGGTGTAATCTCCTCTCACTTATACTGAGAATAGTTAAATCAATTAAAAAGATCTCATTCATAAATTAGTTTAGACTCTAAGATTATAACCAACTAAAAAGAACAAAGAAAATAAGAATAGATAATAAAAAGCAAGATCCTAATTAAATTCTGGTTAAAAATAAAGAGTCCTTGAAGATAGACTTTAGAAGTTAGAAACTGCAAACTCTCCCACTTTAGGCTCTTAAAATAGAAGAATATTCAACTTAACCTTACCACACATAACCTAACCGAGGTATAAGAGCTTTAAGATGTTACAATTTTTGGGCAAGGGACGTTATAGCAATGTCCATTTAGCAATTGATGAAAATACTAATTATCATGTAGCCTTAAAAATAATGAAGAAAGCACAAATTTAATCAATGTCTTAATCTATTGCTCAAGAAATTAAAATTTAGTATTTACTCAATCATCCAAATATAGTTAAATTATATACATTTTTTTAAAATAGTATTAAATTAATAATAATATTTTAGCTGATGAAATAGTTCTAGTCTTAGAATACTGTCCCAATGGCTAAATACATAAAATACTAAAAGGTTTACCTGAATGTTGCTTTCCAGAAAAATTAGCCTCATCATACATTCGCTAAATCTTAAGTGCTTTGATTTATTTACATAGAAATGGCATCATTCATAGAGACTTAAAACCAGAGAATATATTCTTATGTTATGTATCTATATTATTTAAATGTAGAATCAAATAAAGATTGCTGATTTTACATATTCAGTATATTCACCTGAAGATTAAAGATAAACATAATGTGGATCTTTGGCTTATTTATCTCCTGAGATAATAAGAGGTGAGAATTATGATAAGAGTACTGATATGTGGTCTCTTGGAGTATTAGCTTATGAATTATGTTGTGGGGAAACACCCTGGGAAGATTTAAGATAGGATGAAATGTAATAAATGATATAAGATGGAATTATTAAAATGCCTGATGCATTTTCTTGTGAATTAAAAGACTTTATTAGTAAATTAGTTACATCTGATTCGAAAAGTAGAATGTCAGCAAAACAAGCTATGACTCATCCTTGGGTTTAATAATCAGAAGAATAGTTAACTTAATATGAATTTAATCTTTGAATCATTCGAAATTGATAGAATTATATTCATGTTTCAAAATTATTAAAATATATGATATTTTTCTCATTCATATATATAATAACATTATCATTAAGATATTAATAAATAAATAAGATTATTTTAAAATATTCACTAACATAATTTCAATATAAAAAATCAGTTATTAAAAAACACATTCTAATAAATATTTCAATGAAGAATACATATATATTCGATATTCAAAATTGAATTATGAATAATAAGTCTATATTTAGAGGTTTGAAATGTAAATCCTTTAAACAGTAAAATAAATCTATATTAAAATTTGTGTAATATTAAAATTAATTAGGTTTGAGATATAAATATATATTCTAATTATATTTATTTTTAATATGACTATTTTTGCATATTTATGATGAAAAAGTATATAATAATTTTTAGAAGAAGTATTTTAAAATAATAGAAATATTCTTTCACATATAAAAAAATATGATTTTTAATCACATACTTGTTGTTAAAAAATTCCTATATTTATAATAATTAATTACAATGATTGGTTTGCAAATGAACAAGATTGTCTTTTTTTTTTAATATATTAATTATGTGTTATTGATCCCTTTTTTTAAAAATAATTTGGTTTGATCAATTATTAACTTAATCTTTTTTAATTAACTGCTGCTATTAAGGAAATGTCAACTGAGGTTTCTGTATGTAATTTTTTAGGAGTTGGATGTGTTTTTAATTTGATTACTTTTTAATTATGGTGTTCTAAGGTAGAATATTTACTCTAACTAATTTTTGTAGATTCTTATGTCAAATGATCATTCATTTTATGTTTTTCTTAATAAGTAATTAGTTTTTCATTCAAATTTTTTTGTTATTAATTTTCTACAGATAATTATCTTACCTTTTAATACAATTCTTCATTTTCTCTTTTTAATTTCTTATAATAAATTAAATAATTTACAATAATTGTTTATTTTGTGTTGCTGAATAGTTCATTCTTTTCTTTTTCCATTTCCTCTAGTCGAGATATCAAATCTTCTTAATTCTACTGCATCAGATATTCATCCTTAGTTTATAATGTAAATTCAATACTCTAATATGATTTCTTACTTCAAATTCAAATTTTTGTAGTTGTTTTTCTAGAGCTTAATAATCTTATTGTTATTTTTGGTGTTATTGATGAATTATTAATTCAATTATTATCCTTAATTATTCAATTAAACTATTTGTTTTCAGGAATCTATTTCTAGGTAAAACATCATCATCACTAACAATCTGACAAGATTTATAGAATTAATACTAAATTAAATAATGTAGTAATGAGCTCTTAAATTGTCGACATCTATTAAATTTAAATATAACTATATTCATTTAATAATTTTAAATATCTAATGTGTATTAAAACTAAGGTTGATTCTACTATATTTAATTTAAGATTGCATTTGAATGAGTAAAAATTCAGTATCATTTTTATAATTTTAATAAGTCAAGAGTTCAATATTTATAATAATGTTATTCTTATATTCATATATTTGTTATATTAACAATAAGAATTAAATTAAAATATGTTTATAATGTATTCTGATGATGAATGTGTATTTAAAATTGAAAAATTATAGGTTTGAAATGTGAAACTTTTATATTGAAAGAATTATTCTTTAGAAATAATATTTATTTTAGAGAATAGATTCTTATATATTATAAAGAGAAAATAAATGAATAAAATGATAAATTATAATATTAATTTATAATATAATATAATAATAAAGTAATTTAATGAATAACTTAAAGAATTATGATGATAATTCATTGCTTTAAACAGTGAGTAATTTTGTTAAGAACTTTATATTTGGATTCTTGTATATTTTATAAAAAGAGTCAAAAATCAATGCATTATTATTAGCAATTTTGAATTTGATTTAATACATATAATTACATAGTTATATGTTTAGAGAAGAAATAGGTTATGTTTGGTAGAATGATGGAATTTCAAATGCAATTAACATCTTTTTAGAGCATCTGCTTTTCAAAGTGTACTTTACAAGTTTGTAGAGTTATGTAATATTTTTATTCATTCAAACAGGAATATTCATTTCATTAATATGCATAATAATATACTTTGGGTATTAATATCACACAAGTTCATATATAAATAGAACAGCATCTTCAATTTTAAGAGTTGTGTTATTATTATTAATTACAGTGTTGTCAATGCCAATAATACATTACAATACATCTGCATGGATGTGTATAGAAGATGACAATGGTGTTAGTAGACTTTATGATTTATAATGTTTTACAGCAACACATATAGGATATTGTATAGCTTCATTCCTAAATTTAATGTTATATGTCACTTTGTCAATGACAGTAATTTTCACTTATTTTGAATGTCGATTTAGAGCAAATGATTAAACAGCTAAAATAAATGGTAGAGCAGATGCTATAATGTAAAGTTATGTTATTGTGTAAGAGATTGCATTTTCAATAATGCATGATCGTAATTTTACTTACATTTTATTAGTAATAACATTAGGAGGTAGTTTAATCATATTTATTGCATTTTCTCTTGGTAATTAATATCATAGTTTTTTATTTACAAGGTATCATTCTACACTATCTTCTTTGCTAATGTGGAGTGCTTTTATGTTGGCAGTAGCAACAGCAATGGAAGGTAATTTGATAGGTGGTTCTATTGTAGCTTGGATGGTTGGAATACCATTTGTTATAAGTATAGTTTTGACTCAAAGAGATAGATAATTAGAAAGCTTAGTGGCAAATGTAAATAAATTAAATAGTGCTGAAGAAATCATTTCATAAGTTAGATATATATTGACTTTACTAAGATTATAGAATGAAACTAAATATGCAGTTATTTTAGATGGTTATATAGAAGTTCATAGATAAACTTGTGAAAAAACAGATTGTCCTTTAAAGAAATACAAACCAGGATGGAATAAAAGATTAATATAATAAATTAAATAGAACAATTCTGAAGTCAAAAATGATAAACAAGCATTATTGATATTAACTCTCTATAAAATTCTGGATTAAGGATTAGAAAAGTTTGAGAAAAATGTTGATCTAAGAATTTAGTATGCTTTCTTTTTATTGGAAGTAATGTCATATAAACATAAAGCATTATAAGAATTATAAAAGGCTGAAGAATGTGAACCAAGTTTAGATACTTAGTTTGTTTTATATAAATATAAAAGAATAGTTGAAAGTGAAATATAAGATGATTAAAATGAAAAGACTATTTCTAATCATGAAATCTTACCAATATCAGCTGCTCCACCTATTATTAGTGGATTAGCTATGTAAATTGAGAAATGTGCTTATTTACATATGGAATATTGGTCAGAATTAAATGAAGAAACTCCAGATGTTGCAAAATTAGAAGTAAGTGGCAAGAAAGTTACAGATAGTATTAGAATGGTTCAAGAATTATGGTAAAAGTTGAAAAGAGTATGTCCAAATCATTAGACTAGTATTATGTTATATTCAGTATTTTTGATTGAAATACTTAATGATAAAGAATATGGAGTTAGTTTAAATGATACTTTACGTAAAATGATATAAGGATATAATAATAGTAAAATAGATGATATAGATAATCATGATTTTAGTAATGATCCTACTCCAACTATTGTTTTATCAAGTGATAATGAAAAATTTGGATTAATTTAATAAATAAATTCTAGTGGTGCAGCATTATTTCATTATACAAAAAGTGAATTAATGAATTAAAATATTTAAATTTTGATGCCAGATATGATTGGTAAATCACATGATAGATTTGTTGAAGATTTCATTAATAATTCTGATTATAAATATGTTAGTAAAGATAGATAAGTTATATGTAAGAATAAATCTGGATATTTATTCTAAATGAATTTAAATATTAAACCAATTAATTCAGTTAAAAATGGAATATCATTTCTTGGAACTTTTACATAAGATAAATTTAATAAATAAAATGCTTTTATTTTAGTTAATCCTAAAAATTAAATTGAAGGTATTAGTACTGGTTGTTTAAGTTTATTAAAACTTGATATAAGATACATAAAAACCAAGAAAAACTTTTTTGATCTTTTCCCATAAATAACAGATAAGGATCAATATTTAAATAAATAAGGAAGCATAGTTTAATATACAATTCCAAAAGAAATCTTAAAAATTATTGAAAGTGTAAGAAAAAAAGAGGAAAAAGATTTTATTTATAAAGGAATTGATGACAAATCTATATAATTATAATGTTTTTGTTCTGAAATATCATTTGCTTATGCAAATTTTCCAGCTGGTTATTGCTTTAAATTTGAAAGAGTATCAGATTTAGGTGCCTCTTAACTTAATAATTCAATTATTTCTAAAAAATCAGGAAATTAATTATTTGATAAGAAATTAAAAATGAATTAAAATAAATTTATTTTTTAAGGTAAATTTGATGAAGAGAATACAATGTATATTGATGGATTTTATAAAGATTTACCAAGCTATTCTGATTTAGGATCTAGAATAGAATAATCTAAAATTGATTAATCTAAAATTGATGATAGTTTTATAGCTCCACAAAAATTAGATATAACCATTTCTAATAAATAAGATAAAACAGATTCTTAAGAAGGATCTCCAAAATTTAAAGAAATTTAAGTTGTAAGCAATAAAATTAGATATGATGAAGGCATTAGAACAGTTAGATTATTTTAAAATAAAGTTGGTGAAATTGTAAATGATGATGATTAAGTAATGGAAGAGGAAGAATAAGAATATGAAGGTAATTAATATTAAGGTGTAAATCATAATTTATTATATGATGATTCTGAAGAATAATAATCAGAATAAGATGCTTTCTAAAGTAGAACAAAATTAGAATAAGCTATCAATTAAAATCAAACACCATTTCCAATTAAGTTTATTAGAATAGCTGAAACATTCTTAACTTTATCAATGCTTGTATTAGCATTTGTTGATTACTTTTTAGATGTAATTATTTTATATATATATATAAGATTAATTAATTATAAGATATTTAATTAACACTTGAAGTTTATAATACTTAAACTAATTTAGTTGCTGAATGGAATTATTTACTTGAAAATATAAGAGATTTATAATTAATTAATTAAAAATTATATGGTAATAGTACAGATTAAATAAAATAAAATGAAACAATCTTAAAAAGTGAAATGAAATCTAGCATAGATTATATCTAGGAAGGATTAAATTATATTATTTTAAGTGGATATGAATTCCCATCTGATTTAAAAACATTGTATAATGAACCAAATATAAATATGAAATTTAATTCAACAAATAGTTAAACATTTGATTTTTAAGAAGCCTCGAATTAATTATTAAGTTATGCTTTAACTATTATGAATTACCCTTTAGAATCAATATCTTTATATTCTGATGATGTTGCCCTTTATTTTTCAATTTAAAATGGTTTTAATTCTTATTTAGATGCATAATTGAATGTTTTATCTTACACAATAGATGACTTTATTTCTAAAACAGCAGATAAATCTACTAATTTTGTAATCATTGTTGTAGTGGCTGCTGTTATTTTAGCTCTTTCATTGGCTATAGTTGTTATTATATTATTGTCTACTAGGTTGGCTAAAGAATAAGTCATCATTATGTTTTTAGAATTACCCTCGAAAGTTGTAAAGGCTTTATTCAATAAATGTGAAGCATTTGTGAAATATGTAAATTCGATTGATGGAGAAGGAAGTGAAAAAGATGAAGATTTTGAACATCAAATTGAATCAGATGATATGGCAGCTATTGATTCGAAAAAAAAGAAAAAAAAGAAATTTAAAAATACAACTTAAGCTCCTATTAGATTTTATATTTAAGTTATTCTTATAGCAGGATTTATGGAAGCATATTTTATTATGCAACTTGTACTTCAAAAATAAAACTTAAGTGATGTTAGATAATTAATTTATGAAGCCAATTCTACAATTATGGCTGAAGGCTTTTATGCTTTCTGTAATAATGTTCAATAAGCTGTTTTAATTGATTCAACTTAAGAAGTATAAAGTTAGGCTGCTGTGAAAATATAATATGATAATTTATATCGTTTATATTAATTAGATTCAACAATTCATAAAGAACATTCATCTAATATTGATAAACATGAATAAGTTTACATAGAAGCTTATAATACAATAATGTTTTCTAATCCTTGTCAACGATTAAATGAAATAGCTAATATCAGTATTACTGATTGTGAAGCTTTTGCTGAAACTAGTGTTAAAAGTGGATTCACTGTAGCTTTAACAAGATTTTTTGAAAACTTGAGATATTTATCAAGTATATACACTCTAACCATTTAAACACCTACTCCTCCTTTATCTGATTTTATTGACTATGAAGAAATTAATATCTTTCAAAATGAAGCAGACAATTTGAGGATCAATTTAATGAAGCTCTCTAAGATGTAGGAAGTTAAAAAAATGTAAAGAACTTATTTTAAGTAATAAATATTATTAATATTAGAACTGCGATTCGATATTTAGGGGATAGCTTTATTGAAGGTTCTTAAGTAAAATAAAATACATATTTATCATAAAAGTTAGGCTTGTTTATTGCTTTTATTATTGTAATAATTTTAATATATCTTTTTTATTGGATACCATTTCATCGTCATTTGAATAGAGATATTTGGAAGACTAGGATGACATTATTGATGATACCAGTTGATAATATAAGAAGATTAAGAAATGCAAAAGCATATTTAAAAGTATTGATAAACTAAAAAAAATGATTAATTCAAATTCATTAATCATTATATTCAATTGAATCTTTATAAACTTTATTTTTGATTAAATAATTTATTTATA